CTGAGTTTTCAATGTTTTTCAAACTGAGATTTCATTTTACCTATGAGTGATTACATTAGCAAAGTGTCCTGAAGTCCCAATTTTTGAAAAATGATAGAAGTTTTTTTTTTTTTTTTTTTTTTTTAAGTTTTTTTTTAAGTTATTTTTTTAAAATAATATAACAGTTTATTTTTACATCATTTTGTACTTTTTTTTTATATCTCAATTGTAATCCCCGTGGGTTTCCCACCACCGAGTCACCTGTGTGCCATCACCATAGTGATGTGTCCTCCTTTTGCTTGCCCAGCTCCCTCTGAGACTTGGTCTTGTTTTTTCAGATCTCAGTTTAAGTAGCACTTTCTTAGCGATGCTTTTGCAGACTAAAGCATTCTAAGTAGCTACCATCCACCTTAGCACCTTTTAATCTTTCTGCACTAGCACCCTGTTTATTTACTTCATGATACTTTTCTAAAGCATTTTACAGTCATCTTTTAACTTGCTTATTGCATTATGTGTCACCCCCTTCCAGAATGTCTCTTGAGGACACAGACCTTATGCCTGCCGGGTTCACTGTTTTGTCTGTTGTGTTTATTAACAAGATACTCAGTTTAAGTGTGTTGAAAGAATTGCAAATGAGTAAGTTAGCTACTAGTAGAATTTAATGACATTAACTATTTAGTTATCATTATATGATGAATTATATGACTATATGTTTGGTGTCTCTCTGTCCCTAAATAAAATAACCTTGAGGTTGACAAAAGTATGTGTGTGTGTGTGTGTGTGTGTGAGAGAGAGAGAGAGAGAGAGAGAGAGAGAAAGAGAGGGAAATACTATCTACTCACTGAATTTTTCTAAACTGCTCCATAGCCATTAATTCACCAGTCACAGAGAAGATGCCTGTCTCTTCTCAGCAGTATCTTCTGAAAGCCCAAGGCATAAACAAGCCTAGAAATGTTTGTTTCTAAGTGGATTCTTAAGGCAGCTGCTCAGTTTCCTAAGCTCCCCTTTTTAAGTGCCCTTTCAGTTATCCTAACTGGAAAAAATCTCCCACCAGATCCTCCCTGGGACCAAGGGTCTTTAATCCCCACTCATCTCCTCCACCAAGGAGCCTTTTCTGGTAGGGCGGTTATTTTGGGGGCAGGAGGGGAAAGGGAGTAACAGAAGAAAACAGGAGACATGAAACCCACTCTAAAAGTCAGATTTCTTGAACTTGAATGCTACCAGATTCCATTTCTTTAAAGATATGTTGTCATTTTGATGTTTTACACATTCTCTGCATTTCCTAATTTTCACTACTTCTGTGATGTGTGAATTTACAAGGATTTGTGAAGAACCTTGTGTTTCGCCTGGTGCTGTCCTTCATCATATTAATATTAGGTTATCTTTGTGTTAAAAGCAATTATTACAACAATTATGCCTGGTTGGGCCAACAATAACAAGGACTGAGTTTTCAATGTTTTTCAAACTGAGATTTCATTTTACCTATGAGTGATTACATTAGCAAAGTGTCCTGAAGTCCCAATTTTTGAAAAATGATGGAAGTTTTTTTTTTTTTTTTTTTTTTAAGATTTATTTATGCATACAGAACTGGGGTTATAGGCCAGAGGTGCAGGACCAGTGAGAGGCTTCTCCAGAGACAGAGTGGGGAACAGACAGGCTGATGGACAAAGTACACTGCTGAGGGGAGCAGTAGGCGAGTCAGGAGAGGTCTGCTACGCCACATGGGTCACATTCAGTCAGGGCCAGGGATTGAACTCATGCTAAAGTGTCTTTAGCTTAGTTCTGTCCTTTAACCTGCTGCGCCACCAGGAAAGCCCGAACCCAGTACTTTTAACTTGTCTGGTGGTAATAAAAATTGTTGAGAATCTCTTGAACTGTTTTCATGCTACAAAAAACATCTTTCGGTTAATGTTTTCTTATTCTTTTCCTCTCGAACCATGTCAGAATATCGGTTATATTTAATATTAAATATTAGCTAGCAATATGAAATGTAAGGTAACTTTATTTTCTCAGTTGACTTTCTTATTGCTTATCTATATTTTACAAATATATTTTTAAATATGAAATTCTAGCTTGAGTTTTGTGAGAGGTTTCTACTTTATGATGTACTGTTCTGGTGCAATAGAAGTTACCCTTAATCAAAAATTCTTGAAGGATTCAGACTTGGATGCATCCCTTTGTCACAAAGAAAGAGAAAGTACTGACTTCGGGACATGGGACTTAACTCGATTTTATGAGAACTTCTAGTGAAATTAAAGAAAGCTGTGATGCACAGCCTCGGTCATTTTTATAACCCCTTTCCATTTGGAAAACTCTGGGGCTATTTGACGTGGATTGGCTCTTTCTACTAGAATTCGATATTGAACACTGTTGTTTCTGTTTCTGTCAGGCGTTTAGATGCCAACCATATTACCTCAGTCCCCAGGGACAGTTTTGAGGGACTTGCACAGTTACGACATCTGTGGCTGGATGACAACAGCTTGACTGAGGTGCCTGTGCACCCCCTCAGCAACCTGCCGACTCTGCAGGCACTGACCTTGGCGCTCAATCAAATCTCTAGCATCCCTGACTTTGCATTCACCAACCTTTCAAGCCTGGTAGTTCTGTAAGTATCCACCCCTTTTAATCACATATATTTGTGCTAATTTGGGAGCCAAAGCAGATGTCTTATTACAAATTATTATGAAAGGATCTCACTGATTATGCTCTTGAAAAGCTGCTCTGTGTGGGTGTCGCTTCTTTACAAAATTATACGTGCTGGGGGTGCTGGCTTTTAAAGCACAAAATGGGATAATTAAAAACAATTAACGCCTGATAACTGTTGAATCTCTAAAATAGATGATCATTTGTCATCATGAGAAGGAGTTGGGCTCTTCAGCCAACACTGGGACAATCAATGTAGTCAAAAGAAGCAGGATCATTTTGAGATGCTGACAGTAAATAAATTTCAGTGGTATGTCATGGTTTTGTCAGCTTGTCTAGTCAAAAAGAATTTATATTGTGTTTTGATATTTGAAAACTTGGGTGTATATAAAGTGCTGTCTTTTAAAATCTCTTAGCATATGCTTCCTTTGGTTCCCTCACCTACTACAGGAGGGTTCATCAGTTTTGTTTCCTGGATATTAAAACTCATCAAAACTTTTGTTTTGGTGGGCATATATTAAAGGATCCTCAGTGTCTATGCCATTTACCACTAGAGATATTTTCCTTCTCCATTAGTGTTCTGCTTTCAGTATGCCCAAGTCTGCAGTTTACATAACTACCCAATGTTGTTTTCCATTAGTCAACACTCAGTTAAAAATGTTCAGCAATACCATTCTTTAAGCCACAGCCATTTAGACATGTAAAGCATTACAATAGTCATGTTGTAGCTGGTGACTGGTGTAAATGTCTTTTTGATATTTTGTTTCTGTAGGCATCTTCATAACAATAAAATTAAAAGCCTGGGTCAGCATTGTTTTGATGGACTAGACAACTTGGAGACCTTGTAAGTTTATTCATATTTCAGAAGATCACATGATGATGTTGACAGTGCAACTTTTATTTCAGAAAAAGGAAAAAATAATGGTCAGGAGTTCAACTCAATTTAGTTTACTACATGACTAAATCCTTGCCATCAAATAACAGTTATGAACACAAATCTATGCTTAGGGTTTAAAGATGGCATACAAGTTAGAACTTGATATTTCTTTCAAAAATCCATGTTAAAAATAAAAGCAGTTTAATGTGCTCAGCTGCATACGTGTCGCAAAATTTTTGATTTGGTAAAATGTTAGTTTTATGTTGTGAATCGTCTTGCTAATTGTTAGCATTGGGCTTGAATCTATCTCTTCTTCCATAGGTTAAATGTAATTGAGTTTTTTGTTTTGCTTTGGATGCTTTTCTCTTTTTACTAAAGTACTTGGATTTCTGGTTTAATTGTGGGTTGCACTGCTATACAAGTAACAAACATACAGCTTTGTGAATGTAGATCACAGCAGGATCTTTATTTTTGTTTTTATTTATATTAATTACCTTTACTCAAAGACTCATATATTTGCCTTAGTGGTCTTGTTAATGATTCAGAGAATTTCCCAATTGGGTGGATAACATCTGATTGGAATGCTTATGATTTTTAATGTTCTGTGTAGTAGGGTTTTCTGGTTAACATCAGTTAATGAGAAAGCTTAAATTTTTTTCTATGAAAAGTATATTCTATGACTCTAGTTTCCTATCTTAGCAACTAAAAAGATAGTGAGCTTAATGGATGTTTGAAAGGTGAAGCTTTTGAAGAAGATAGTTCCAAGCTCAGTTTTCATTTTCTAAGTGTGTAAACACCAATGTGACAAAAGACTGGCTGGGTTTTGATCGTAGACCAGCTACTCTACCTCAGTTTTATCTAAAGTTAAACCTCCCCTCTATTACCTTAAGTTTCTGTTTGTTACTTTTCTTTCTATGTAGCAAAGGAAAATAAAATAGGTCTCCCAGGAGCTGGCCTTTTGATTTGGTGTTAATCTCATTCAGAAATCTACCATTACACTCCTATGCCAACATGCTCTTTAGGGTAAAATAACGAAACACTTTCAGCAGTAAGATTTTTAGGCTAGATGGCTGTGGCTTTTCTCTCTCCTAGTTAATGTAACATTTCCAGCAGTTTGTTAACTACTTGACAACAATTGTTGTCCTGGTCCTTCTTTTTATAGTTAACTCAGGTCATGCTGCTGGTGGCTGGGCTGAGAATCAGCTGCCCTCATGCTAGAATTTCTGAAAACCATTCTAAATCCCAGGTGGAAATTTCAGTTTCGGGTCATTGCCATTTTTAAGTAGACATTCAACAAATTTTATTTTTCTGGTTAATTCCTTATAAATATCATTCAGCTGATTTGCTTACTCAGTGACATCAGTAGTGTGTGATTATAATTCTTTGAACTTTTGAGATGATTTAAAAACATTTTAGAGGAATTATATCCTTTTTGTTCATTATTCTAAGAAAAGGTATAAATTCAGTTAAAACTCCTATAGAGTGGCAGTATAATTGGTTAAGAAAGATTACCATCCAGAGGATAGAAATTTTCTAAAAGTACATTTCAACCAGAATACCTTAAAAGTTATGACTGTTTTTTAATACTCTTGCACATTTCTCCCAATTTTTCTAGAGACTTGAATTATAATAACCTGGGAGAATTTCCACAGGCTATTAAAGCCCTCCCTAGCCTAAAAGAACTGTAAGTATTGTTTTGTTCTCTTTGTGCCTTAATATCTATCCCTAGAAGATAACATTTAATATTAGAACAATGAGATTTTAGAAGATATTTGTTCCATTACATGTGCCAAAACATAACACTCACAATCATACAGATTGTATCACATTAGCTAACAGGGACAATGTGGACCATAGGTAACTGTATAGGGAGAGATACTGGTGAAAATAACCCTGTCGTGTTTGTTCTCTGTCTCTTAGGAGTGTGTAGTCGTAGTCTCAGTGGAGAAGTTGACCATATGGGAGAAGTAGATAGGTAGCAGATTCTAGGTAGAAGTGCTGAATAAATAGGACAAATGAATCATTCCAGAAGAAAACCTCATTGAAATTGATAGAAAAGGCATCATCACTAAAGACAATAAATTTGACTGAACTAGAAAGACTGGAAATACTTAAATGAAAGGGATGAAGCTACATTTCAGATGTTGGATTTGTCAAACGCAGAGATAAGAAAGTATATGGCATACCAGGAATTATGAGTCATGGTTGACAGTTACTACTGTAAGCTGCACTGCTTCAAGACTAAATGAGAACACCTTATGATTTTTGCAATCTAAAGTTCTTTGAAGATAAACTAACAGGCCAGTGTACACAAAGGACCCCTGCTAGGTACCAGGTTAAACAGTGGGTTTAGAAAGAATTAGATGGGATCCTAAAGAAAATGAAATGGAATGAAAATACAATTTCTCCACATTTAAAAAATTTTTTTGCACTGTCAGTTGTATTTTATATCATACTGAATAGCAGCAGATAACTTAGGTTTTAACTTACTTTATAGGTTATATGCATTTCAAAACATTTTTCTTCTATTGTTTTAGGTTATTTCATAGTAACTCTATTTCTGTTATCCCTAATGGAGCTTTTGATGGTAATCCACTCTTAAGAATAATGTGAGTAGTTTTAAAATATATTTTTACTACAAAGTCATGTAAGGCTATGTTGTATTATGCCAAACATCTGGATGTAGAATGAAAATTCGGGCTTTTTGATAGATGGGCTTAGTGAATATAGATTTAGTAGTTGGAATGCTTGAGGACATATGAAAACTTTGCTCTTTTGGGAATTTTTACAGACATCTGCATGATAATCCTCTGTCTTTTGTGGGGAACTCAGCATTTCACAACTTATCTGATCTGCACTCCTTGTAAGTATCATACAAATATGAAAACAAACCTGAATATTAATACAGTCGATTTGGTGGAAAATAAGAATGTATTAGAGTAACTCCAGAAAATAAGATCTTTCAATTTGTTTTCCTATGCTAGAAGTCCAAATGACAATTCTGCAAATTTATGATGGTTCTTACTTATTACACTTCCAGATATATTTAAGAGATCAAACTAATGTTATTGTTAGATAAAGTAGTACCATAGTTTTAAACTATTTAAAAAATAAAATGGCAATATCATCTTTGAAAACTTTGGATTTTAAATTCATTTCACCCATTTATTTTTTTAATAATATAATAGTTTGTTTTTACATCATTTTGTGCCTTTTTCCATCTCAGTTGTAATCCCCATGATCTTCCTATCACCAAACCATCCATGTGCCATAACCATAGTCCAGTGCACTTCCCTCCCCCCACCATTTTTTATCCCATTCCCCATCCCACTCCCGTAAAATATCTGGTATATAATTGTTCATTATTATTATTATTATTTTCTCCCTAGTCCTTTATACTCATGCTATGAATGAAACCATCCAGTATTTTTCCTTTTCTTTATGACTTATTTCACTAAGCATGATCTTTTCGAGCTCTATCCATGTTGCTGCAAAAGGCATGTGTTTATCTTTTTTATTGTTGAGTAATATTCCATTGTGCATATGTACCACATCTTTTTAATCCAGTCATCTACATTTGGGCATTTGGGTTGTGTTTTCATGTCTTTCCAATTGTAAATAAAGCAGCAATAAACATGGGTCACCTACTCTCCCCCCCCCCTTTCTTTTAAGGGTCATTCGCGGTGCAAGCTTGGTGCAACATTTCCCTAACCTGACCGGGACTGGCCATCTGGAGAGTCTGTAAGTGTGACCCCTTCGAGATGGGTGGTCTAAAGATAACGCAGTGGGCTGCTGCAGGGGACTCATTGCTTTTTTGGTGGTAATGATGATGATGAGTTTTTGTCAGTTTCTACAATTTCCCTGTGTAATATCACACATGATGGAGATGGATGTGTCAGATTTTGGGTTAGTCCTATCAGGTGGAGTGAGGCCTTGCATGTGCAGAGAAGATCTGAAAAGTTTACAGAACATGTAAATGTTAACTGAGTGCCCTGTTAGAAGACTTCTTTCGGATTTTAGGAAGTATATTGGCTATGCAGACTATCAGAGGATGCTTCATGGAGGAGGTGTTTCAAAAGTAAATACTATTCGGTTTTTCAGGACTTGGGCCTTGTATTTGGAAAGGCAGGCTCTAGTTAAATGGGAAATATGAGTGTGGACTAAAGGATAGCATACAGATGACCAAACATAGCTGGGATTGTCTGTTTATTATGGAATGGAAAGTAACAGAGAGAAATTGGGAAAATTGGGTTTTCATTTTAGATGGCAGACCTTGAACATTGAACATTTGGTTATGGCTTATCAGTGTGTGGGTGAGGAATAGGTTACAGGTGCAGCCAAATTCTTGATGAGCTGAGCTCTAAGCAGCTAGGTGGGGTCTGAGGTGGCTAGGGTCTCTAAACACAGGAGCCTTACTACAATATGTCAATTGAACATAAATGATTTGCACATGTGCCAAGAAGTCAGCCAGAAGTTAGGAAGTGCTGAGCTAAATCATTTAAACTTAACCTTAAAGCAGTTTAGGATGTTGAGAATGTGGAGCACGTGGTGGGAGGAGACTGAAGAGGGAAATGAGTGTTAGGAAGACCAGTGAGGAGGCTGTGGCATTCGTCCATTTGGTGAAATACACATTAACCACAAGGGTTTTGTGTCTTCAGTCCATCACTGTGGTTTCTCCTCCTTTTGGCCTGAAATTTCTGCACTATTTTCTGCCTTATGCCATCCCTAATCTACACGGTAGCAATACAGAACAAAGGCGGGGGGAGAGGGGTTAGGTGCTAGAGATGCTGCAGAAGAAGGAAAACAGAAATGGTAGAACGTAAAAAGGGAGGCAGGTAAGAGAAAATTTCAGAATTCATTAGTCAACTTGAATGAAAAGACAGAAAAGGCTTGGGGCCAGAATACTAAATTTTATTCACTTCTTTTGGTTGTGAGAGGGTGACAGAGCTTGTAGGTGTTTGTGGAAATGCTGTGATTGTGATTAGTGGTGTTGGCAATATGAGAAGCCAGTCTCACCCCCTGGATGAGACTAGCTTCTTGTATCACAAGCTTTTCTGCCTAACTATGAGAACCATATTGGTGCTGAGAGTTAATTCACCTTCCCACATGCCTGACTTTGGGGAATAAATAGGCAGTGGACTGCAGAGACTCTAGTACATATGCAAATAAGGGAGCATTTGTTTTTCCATAAGAGAATAGCATTTTGTTTACCATTTCAATTGTATCGTTTCTTAGGTGAACATTGTTTTTTTCCCACAGGACTTTGACAGGTACCAAGATAAGCAGCATATCCAGTAATTTATGTCAAGATCAGAAGATGCTTAGGACTTTGTAAGTGGGATTCATCTTCCCTTCTCAAATTTATGTTGAGTTTTTCTTTTAATGAACTATTTTCATTGGATGATTTTAAGGTATATATTTTTTCCGCTTTATAGAAATGAACTGGTGCGTTCATTTCAGGGTGGGTTGGTAATGTTTATTTGAATTTGGTCTTTACAGTTACATGTTTATATAACACATCTTGTGACTTCACTTGGAATCAAATAAAACCAAGCTAGTCTGGTCCTTCGTTTTATTTTTTTTCTTATTCCAACTCCTCACCCTTATTCTGGCTGCCTAGGGGTGTTAGCTCTCTACTACCATCCTGCTCTTTCATCCATAACATAAGCAAAGCCCAAGTCTTTCTTGGATAAGGAATCACTAAGCATGAAGCTTCCAAAAACAGTTATGCTGACCTAGAAATTAAAAGTAAATAAAGAATGTAAAAATGTGGCAAGAAAGAACAACTAAGTTACTAGCTGTTAATAAGTATTCAGTGGAGGGAAATAATAATAGAATAAGTGACCAATTGATTAAGCAAGTAATTAAATAGTGTCATGGAGTATCAAACTTTATAGTTATCATTGAGGAAAAACTACATTGGGATTGAGGGTTAACTAGTTCTATTATTTGACATATTGTAAATGATTTTAGAATGTGAATATGCATACTCTTCCTATAGTTTTTTAATTAAATAACAACATAGAAACTATTGTGATATAACCAATATTATAAATCTTTAAGTTAAAAATCCATAATTACCTCTTGAACATAATGTTTATTTCCTATAGTAGGTTTTTATATCTTTAATTTTATATATTTGTTTTAAAACATATAGTTTATGTGTAACATTATGTACTTGAGTTTGCAAATCCAAAACCTGTTGTATCACTTAAGTGGTTCAGAAACACACACATTTTATTAGAAAAAGCCCAGTTGCTCAGCCATGGAGTGTTAGGACAGATCTTAATGCTATTTTCTATTTTCTCAGTATGATTTTACTATTGTATTCTGATAAATTAATTTTTAACTCCTGTTTTTTAAGGGACTTATCGTACAACAATATAAAAGAACTTCCAAGCTTTGATGGATGCCATTCTCTGGAAGAAATGTAAGTTGGTCTTTGACTTCCTCCTTTGGCTGGGGTATATTCACAAGTCATTGAGCATTTCCTATCTTAGATGAATGGCTTTCATGTTAAGAAATTAGGAATTCATTTAACCTGGTATTTTTATGAAAAAACATCAAACTCTTACTCGTTGTGTTTATGCAACCAGCTTTTACCTGGCACCTGTCTGTCAGGAATGCTGTGAGACACTTTCAGGGAGGGTGCTGTGTACAAACAGGTGAAAGCTTGTCTTGGCTGTTGAGGGAATCCAGACGTAGCGAGCATATATTTCATACACTTATAGTGTACCTGTAAGGACAACTCTGATCAAAGTTGACCAGGACGTGCAGCAAGGCAGGCATGAATCCTCCCATTTTGACCCCTTTTCCTGTTACCTTCTCTGAATGTGGGTGTATTGCCTGGCGCTTTTCTCATGCATCGTCCTTCTCTCACTTATGAGTGGGATCGCCATGGGATGTACATAGTGTATTTTTTCCAAAAGATTTATTTATTTATGTATACAAGAGCTGGGGTGTAGGCCAGAGGTCTGGGGGTGCGGGGAGGAGAGGGATGTGAGAGGATTCACCACAGTGGGGAGTTGAACAGGCAGGTCTACTGAAATACACTGCTGAGGGGAGCAGTGGGTGGGACAGAAGTCTGCTGTGCCATGTGGGTCACCTCTGGGGCCGAGGTCAAGCTCATGTTGCAGTGACTGCAGATAGCTTCATAGTGCTGAGACTTAACCTGTGCCACCAGGGAGGGACTATGTAGTGTGCTTAATTTCCAGCATAGTTTGGAATGAAATACTTCTTAGTCTAATCCTCTCATTTTGTGGGTGAGGGAACAGCAGTTCCCTTCCCACAGCTACCTGTGAATATTTAAAATAAGAAAAGGTTTCATTGAGAAATTATATTTTTCAAAATAGAAAATAATTGTTTTTCTTACTTGTTTTTTAACCCCTTCCCCCTCTTCCTCTTCTTTTCCTTCTCCCAGTTCTTTGCAACGTAATCAAATACACCAAATAAAGGAAGGTACTTTTCAAGGCCTGATATCCCTAAGGATTCTGTAAGTTTCTATGGAATTAGAGCCAACTAAAACTTCTGATCAAAATATAATTAAGATGTCATTAGTCCCATTGTAACAGATATAAAGATATGTGTTATTGTTTATAAATATTGCTGAAACTATCATGTGGTACTTCATAATCTGCTTTCAGTATTTCATGGCATCTACGTTAGTGAGTGGAAAAGTATAATGTGTCGATGCAGATTGTTTGTTTGCAAGTCAAAATAATAAGGTTTGTTAGTCCATTAGGGCAGGGGTGGGCAAACCACAGCCTGTGGGCCAGATCCAGCCTGCCTCCTGTTTTTTTAAATTAAGTTTTATTGGAACAGAGCCAGGCTCTTTTGTTAAGTGTTGTCTAAAGCTGCTTTCACCATATACTATGGCAAGTTGAATAGTTGCAGTAGAGACTATGTGTCTGCCTCCCTGCCTCCAGAGAAGAAAAACATTTACTATTTGTTCCTCTACAGAAACACTGTTGACCTCTGCATTCATGACAAATACAGCTAACACTTACCAAAAGTCCTCATTTAAGAATTGGTATCTGAGTGTATATTTGTGCTGCATACTCAGCACTGGAGGATAGAAAGGTGACTGTAAAAACCCTTGTCTCTGTCTTCACAACTTTAATGAAGAAACAATACACTAAGTTAGTGAGTTTTTTTTAATACAGAAAAAAAAAACATGAAAAATTGATAGTGAAGTGATATTACATATATTGTTTGTTTTCCAATTGACAACCCTTAAGAAATTACATATGCATTGTGCTAGAAGATGTTTTATTCACAGTTGGGTTGCCAGATCTCCCTGTGTTGCTGACAGGCTTACTGTGGGTCTAGGCAGGAGGGAGGAAGAGAACTGGCTTCTAGCTGCCATCACTTCCAGAGCGCTGATAAAAGACCCCAGTGAAAAGCTGGCCTTTCCATGATTTGGAACCCACTTTGTGGAGTTTTGCTGTTATCCAGGAGATGTGCATGGGGTGATTTTATTCAGTCTTTAAATTTCCATTAAGACCTAGTTGGTGGTGGGAATTTTATGGGAACTACACCTAAGAAGAGAAAGCAAATATTGTACAAAAAAATGAACAATGATGTAAAAAATATAAATACATACAGAAATTTTTAGAAAAACGACCTGATTTAAATGTGATTTTAGATTGTCTTTGTTTTATTAACTCCTAGAACTCAGAACTCTCCTGAGTATATATTCCTGGGAAGAGTATTGCTCTGATAGTGATAGGCTTTTATTTCCTGCTTGGAAAAAGCATATCTGAAGCCCTCTGGAATGCTCTTGTTTGCATATTGATTATTTGTCTTCTCTGGGGCCTTATCACTAACCTTTGAGAAGGCAAATATTATGAAGCCTGTTTTTATTTTCGGCTTTGTCAAGAGATCGGTTTTTCTTCACCTAGATAATAGTGCCAAAGGTTATATCATATCATTTATATTTTTGAACTTGTACTAGAATGATAAGGTGGAGAAAATTCACAACTGTTTGAAACAAATGCCAGCTACAACTGCTGTGCTTTGGATACATTCTGTGGAAGAGAAACAGGAGAAGAATACAACCTAAATATAAAAAATGCTGTTGGACAAGATTTAAGATCTTTGTTATCTCCTTAGGAATGTCTACCTACCCCACTTTGTAGTCAAAGTAACTGCATTTTGAGTTGATTTGAAAATATTAATATGTTATTCTTATAATTGTAGAGATCTGAGTAGAAACCGGATCCATGAAATTCACAACAGAGCTTTTGCCAAGCTTGGGTCAATAACTAACCTGTAAGTTGATGTTTTTACTTAGTAACACCACAAAAATAGTAAATAGTCTACAGAAGCCTGCATTATCCTATCAAAATATTTAAATATTTTTTGGTTCTTTTTCCTTGTATAACTGCTAAACTGCAACAGTATGGAATGGCCCCTAAAATGGCAAGATGAACACTTGAGCCGTATTTTAGCAAATCTAAAGTTCCTTGTGCAGCTCTAATATTTGTGATGTTTTATATGTACAGATGTTTTTATTTGATTCTGACAAGTTAATTGGAAATCTCTTTCACATTCTAGAGACGTAAGTTTCAATGAATTAACTTCTTTTCCTACGGATGGCCTGAGTGGGCTAAATCAACTGAAACTTATGGGCAACTTCAAGCTGAAAGAAGGTTTAGCAGCAAAAGATTTTGTTAATCTCAGGTGTGTTTTTCCTTATTTTCTCTTTTGATGCAATGATGGTACACCCTCAAATTATATTGTGTGCTGTTACCAAATTTTCTAGGAGGTTATAGCTTAAGAGTATTTTCTACATCAGTTCTCACAAATTTGGTAAAGAATAGATAGAACATGAGCATCCTTCCATAAATGTTAGGAACTTAAATTTGAAGACTTTTATGCTGTCACAATGATAATGAATTAATTCTGTTTTTTTAATAGTGGATTTGTCTTTAGTAACAAGATGGCTGAAACCACTTAAGTGTGAACTTAGAATGTTGGCACAATGCTCTACTGCTTCACAGACAAATTACAGTCTCAGGGTAGGGAGCCTCATTAGCTAGAGGGCTGGGGATATTATTGACAAGAGAATAATTTTCACTATAGTTATATGAACACAGTAAATGGATTTAGTGGAATAAAGTGATAAATGACCTGCGGCATTAATTTTAAGTGAAACGACCAGTTCCATATGATAAGTTGGGTGTGTTACTTCATTTATAAAAGGAGTCTGATAAGACTGTATTTAAAATATATGTCTCATCTCACTGGAGAAACTCCTGGTATCTTCTGATATCAGAGGTCATTTTATGGATAAGGAAACTGAGGCCCATAAATAATGATCAACTTACAGTTTGTGACAGTGTGGCCTTTCTGAGTTCTAGGCTGGGACTTTCACATATAAAATGTTTTTGACAAAACAAAAGTATGCCTGTGAACTTGGTATACAGTGTGGATTTTATAATTTTTTCCAGATCTTTATCTGTACCCTATGCTTATCAGTGCTGTGCATTTTGGGGTTGTGATTCTTATGCACATGTAAACACCGAAGATGATAACCTTCAAGACCACAGTGTGGCAAAGGACAAAGGCAAGTGCAGGAATTTTTTTCAACCAACGTACTCTTTATGGCATGAATCAAAGTTTCTGTTACTGTAGTTTGTGAAGGATTGATATGAAATTTGTAAGAAAAAGGGCATTTACAGTGTTACTGGTCTCTTAATATTATGTGAAGTCAAACTTACATCATGGGGGGAAAAAAAAGACTGCAGATTGCAGAAAAGACTGGTTCTTTTGAATGGCCTAAAACATGAGTGATACAGTTTGTGTTCTGTGTTCAGGTCTCACGGATGGGGCAGCTGTCACAAGCAGTGCTGAAAATGAAGAGCACAGTCAAATAATCATCCACTGTACACCTTCCACAGGTACATCCAGCACGTCACCAGAGTTCACATTTGAGTTCAAGAGGCACTTCCTCCATTCGAATTCAAGTTACCCTCCTTTAACTCTGGGACAAGCATTTGACTCACTGATTTTCCTTTTCCTTTTCCTTTTAAAAAATACAGTCCCTTTTTCTATTTTATTTCAGTGAACTCAACTAGACTTGGAAAAAGTTGCTAAGTTGATGCCAAATCTTTGGTCATGATGGATTTAGAATATTACTATTAAAGATTAGATAATTGGCTAACCTGTGCTAGGAAGTTGATTCCTGTTTTAGCATAATGACAAAAGGATGATCTGAACATTCATGTTCTAATTCAGAATCATTCAGCATCATGGATTCTCTATTGATTATGTCCAAATTGTGAGCTTGATGGTGGGCTGTGTGTGTGTCCCTTTTTAATACTTACTGTGGCACCTTGTGTAGAGAATAAAGTTTAAGTTACCAGGTGAGTGATTAGGGATGGCAAGAATCATTTAAATTCGCTGTACTGATTTACTATATTAATTTTGGGGCTTTGAGTGGTGCAGCTTGCTCCCCTGCTCCACTGGGGTTCTCGTGTTGAAGGGTTTCCTTGGGAACTGACAACTCAGTGAAAAGGGGAGCGTTTTGTTAAAGGGGGAGCTAGACTTGAGCACACAGGCTTCACTTCTTCCACACTGAATTTAAACTAATCTAGGGCTGGCCAAGATAAAGTTGGTCTGTGCGTCTCCCCAGGCTGCAGTTGGGGTGAGCCTCTTCCACTGTGAAGCAAGTGCAGGAGAACAGGCTCTTTGGGCCAGAACTGGAGAAAGCTGGAGATTTGCAAAGACACACTGGGTGGGACTTTCTTCCTAGGCTTTTGAAGGGAAATCACCCCACCCATCACTCAAACACTTCCCAAAGGGTGTCATGCTCTCTCTTAGAGGAGCTGTCCCTTCTTCTTTTAAGAAGGATTTCAGGTATGGGTGAGGAGTTAAAAAATTTAAAATAGTTATTTTTAAAGTTCTTGTGTTATTTAGAAGTCAGATGTAAAATGGTGCAGGCTTTGCTTCTTAGACCTGTGAGTATCTCCATAATTAAAATGGCTTATAGAATGTATCTAACTTCATGACAGTTCAAAAAAGTGAACCAGAACGATTGCAATATATAGTTTTCTTGTGCTTGGCAGGCATAATTGTATTTTTCTTCACTAATTTTTAAATAAAACAGTTGTCTTTGTGATGTAACTAGATGTCAAAGTCAGTTACTAGAACATACCATTTAGCCACTAAATTAGTTGTTGTAATCCTTGTTTAAATTCTATAGAGTTTTGCTGGACATAGCTTTGTATGTGTAGTTAGCATTAGTGTGGTTTTCCTAACTATACTATTTTACTGAATAATCTTTTTTGGGTCAAAAAAATTTTGAAATCACAGTTTCTCTGGATGAAAAATGGGGATAATTATAACTATCTTAACCTTTCTCGTCAGATTGACTTTGAAAGCAATGATATGTGCCCAAAAAATATGTATAGGTACAGAATGACTACGAAGTATATTAGGACTAGTATGGAAGAAGGACAGGACTTAGTATTTACTAAAGTCCAGCAGTGTGCCCATAGGCTTCTTGGGTACCTTGTGTATGTAATTTTACTTAAGCTACCCAAAACTATGACATAGGATTATCCACAGGTGCGAAAAATGAAATCTGTAGAGATTTAAATTGCTTTCAAATCAAAACAGCAGTTTGAATTTAGGGTTCCAGGCCAATTCCAAGACAACGGTATATATCAAATATTTTTCATGTATGTTTGCTGTGTACATTAACTTAAGTTTAAGGAAAATTTTCAATTTTCCTTTAAGTTTCATATGACTTTACTAAGATTTTAACAAAGGAAAACTGAATTAAAAATAGCCCAGCCTAGTGCAATGACTACACTTTATCTAAGAAATAGTCTTTTCATTTGGTTTGATTTATTTTGGTAGCAGATTTAACAATTCTATGTGAACTGTTATTTCTTTCAAGCTATGTTATATGGATTATAGTGTTTTCTAAATTACTTTCTATTTCTCTCATTTTTTCCATTGTAGGTGCTTTTAAGCCCTGTGAATACTTACTGGGAAGCTGGATGATCCGTCTTACTGTGTGGTTCATTTTCTTGGTTGCATTGTTTTTCAACATGCTTGTCATTTTAACAACATTTGTATCCTGTACATCACTGCCTTCCTCCAAATTATTCATAGGCTTGATTGCTGTGTCTAACTTATTCATGGGAGCCTATACTGGCGTCTTAACATTTTTGGATGCTGTGTCCTGGGGCAGGTTTGCTGAATTTGGCATTTGGTGGGAGAGTGGCAGTGGCTGTAAAGCAGCTGGGTTTCTCGCCATTTTCTCTTCTGAAAGTGCCATCTTTTTATTAATGCTAGCAGCCGTTGAAAGAAGTTTATCTACAAAAGAGATCATGAAAAATGGAAAAAGCAATCATCTCAAACAGTTCCGGATTGCTGCCCTTTTTGCTTTTCTGGGTGCTGCTGTGGCAGGCTGCTTCCCACTTTTCCATAGAGGGGAATACTCTGCATCTCCCCTGTGCTTGCCATTTCCTACAGGAGAAACACCATCACTGGGATTTACTGTAACCTTAGTGCTATTAAACTCACTAGCATTTTTATTAATGGCCATTATCTACACTAAACTTTACTGCAACTTGGAAAAAGAAGACCTTTCCGAGAACTCACATTCTAGCATGATTAAGCACGTCGCTTGGCTAATCTTCACCAATTGCATCTTTTTCTGTCCTGTTGCATTTTTTTCATTTGCCCCACTGATCACTGCGATCTCTATCAGCCCCGAAATAATGAAGTCTGTGACTCTGATATTCTTCCCATTGCCTGCTTGCCTGAATCCAGTCCTGTACGTTTTCTTCAACCCCAAGTTTAAAGAAGACTGGAAGATATTGAAGCGACATATAACCAAGAAAAGTGGATCAGTGTCAGTTTCCACTAGTAGCCAAACTGGTTGTGTGGAACAGGATTTCTATTATGACTGTGGCATGTACTCCCACTTGCGGGGCAACCTGGCTGTGTGTGACTGTTGCGAATCATTTCTTTTGACAAAGCCAGTATCATGCAAACACTTAATCAAATCACACAGCTGTCCTGCACTGGCAGTGGGTTCTTGCCAAAGGCCAGATGGCTATTGGTCCGACTGTGGGACGCAGTCGGCCCACTCGGATTATGCCGATGAAGAAGATTCCTTTGTCTCAGACAGTTCTGACCAGGTGCAGGCCTGTGGACGAGCCTGCTTCTATCAGAGTCGAGGATTCCCTTTGGTGCGCTATGCTTATAATCTACCGAGAGTCAAAGACTGAATGAATATGTTGTGGCTGTTTCCCCCATCAACCAAAATCACAGTGTTTATAGAGGGAACCTTGATCTGATCTTTCATCTGGGAAGCACTTCTGTGATCACTGCCTGGTGTCACTTAGAAGGAGGAGAAGGTGGCAGTTTCTTTCTTAAACGAGACATTTTCAAAGAACAAGTGCCTAAACTATCAACTGGTGGAAAAGATGATGTCCACACAGTGTGTGGTCTATTTAAAATGAATTTGTAACTTGAAAAAGATGTTGTGTATATCATAGCAATGTAACATTAGGCTTTTTTTAGATCCATAAAAAGCAAATTTATACCTATCTGAATAAGATAAAGCACAAGATAAAGAACAGCTGTTAATATTTTTTTAAGAATATTTTAAAGTGTGATTTTATATAATTAAAGAAAAAGTCATGCTAATTTACCTAATGTTTTCATCATTAATCTCAGGACAACTTACTGCAGGGCCAAAAAGGGACTGTCTCCCAGGTAGAACTGTGAGAGTATGTTGTAGGCATTACCTTATTGCATTTTCTACTTCTGTCTTTGACAAAATAGAGTCACAAATTCTGTTTAATTCATTTATAACTTTGAAAACTGAAGATGTTTTTAAAATAATATTAACAACTGTTAGATTTAAAACGAATAACTGAACACTTGTTTTTGGTCTTTATGTATCATTTTGGTGTGACCCCAGTGATTATTTCCTCAGTGTTTTGTGGTAAAGGGCTATTGACTGGGTGGGTTTAGTAGATATTTACTAAACTGCTAACTAATACGGGATTTGAGTAGTAGCTGAGGGATTTGATAGCTCCTTGTAATGTTCCCATTAATAAACACTTCCTATTATCATTGGTTCTACCAATATTTTCCAAATTTTCTGGTATGTTATCTACTTATTGTTTGGATTATAGAGTAAACTGTGATAAATAATTGCATATAATTTCAAGAATTGGGAGTAATTATGACACAAAGCACTTAAATTTATTTCTTAGTGAGCTGGATTCTCCTGAACCTGTGCTATATTACACAGAAGCTTCCAAACATTTCTCCCATACTGTGATTCACAAAAGAGCCTATGCAAAAGCTCAGATGATGCGTTCTTGTGAGACAAGATCATAATGTCTTTAAGAAAAAAAAAAAAAAAAGGAATAAAGTTGGAGTCTGTCTTTAAAAATTAAAAATTATACTTGATTTTCATTGATGGACTTTTGACATGTCACTATGTGGAGTCTTAAAATTAAAAATGTTCAATATTTTTGAACAATATGCTAAGTCAATAGCAAGTCCACTGCCATATTAGTGATTCAGGATACACTAAAAGACATTAAACTAGATTGCAGTTTAATAATTAAACTGTATATACTGTGCATATAATGAATTTTTATCTTATGTAAATTATTTTTAGAACACAAGTTGGGAAATGTGGCTTCTGTTCATTTTGTTTAATTAAAGCTACCTCCTAAACTATAGTGGCTGCCAGTAGCAGAATGTTAAATTGTGATTTATATGCTTTTTTGCATTGTAAATAGTCTTGGTTGTACATTGTCAGTGTAATAAAAACAGAATCTTTGTATATCAAAATCATGTTTGTGTAAAATGTGGGAGGGATCTATTTACAGTGTGTTGTAATTTTGTAAGGCCTACCATTCACAAGTTTTTAAATTGATACCATGTCTGTATATTTACATACCTGATAAATATTAAATCATAACCTGGTAAAAAAAAATTTAGCTAAAAGGTTTTTCCCTCAAAATTCAAGTTACTAGAAACTTCATTACATTGATTTTTAAAATATAACAACATGGGATATATGTGGTGAATTGTGTTATACAGATGGTAGGAAATACAATATTGTATGAAGTGTTTTGAATTATTAAAGTTTTTAGAAAGCAATGTACTTTGCTATAATTTATAGTTAGGTATACTTATACTAATGAATTTGTTTAATGTAAAAGGAAGCAGATTAAAGTAAAACACTTTTAGAGTGAAGGTTATGAAAAATGTTGAGAGAATACTTTATTGGAATTTAGAAGGGTTTTATTCTATAAGTTTGAATCAAATTTATAGAAAAAAAATTATAAAATGCAAGATAGACACCAATTAGATCTTTATTTAAAAGGAAATGATTTAAAAGCCTATATGACATCTATTGCCCAAATTCTTAGAAATAAGTCAATATTCCCCATAATCCTTCATTTTAGAGTGGAAAATAGAGAAATTTAATGAATAGCTAACTCACACTGCTAATTAGAATTCAAACCAACTCCCAACTCCTATCAATTTGAGGTTTAAAATTCTTGTTTTGTTGTTTCAAATTTTAGTATGTGTTTGAAAGTTCCATAACAAAAAGAGAGAATAGTGTAATTCCTTCCTCTTCATCCCTTCAACCCTCTCACAGCCCAGGCGCCCACCACCCTCATCACCACCACTTGGTAACTGTCTCATCATCAGCCTATTTACCCACCTGCCCCATTCATTATTTTGAAGCAAATCTAAGATATATTCTTTTTATCTGTAAGTATTCGGTATATGCAGGGATATATTTTTAACAATTCTTAACAGATTGCCCCCAGAGCCAACTGCTAACTGGTATTATTTTTGTAACAAAGTTAGGCATTTTTAGGCAAAAGTCACTTCATTTATACAGTTACAAAGCCAGCAAAAACAAATTTTCTCAATTAAGCCATGAAAGTGAAAATAAAGTGAGTGTAAGATAAAAGCTATTAGTATCCTGAAACAGAAAGGAAGCAGGCCTCTTTCGAACTGACTCATACACTTTTATATCTTTCTACTCAATTTGATGAGGGCTTCTCAGTCCCCATAATGGAAAGACCACAGACTATGTTCAAGCGCGAGTGCCATGTTGCTCTTTGCCTTAGAATGCCTATGTTACCAGAACATCATGCAATAATTACTCATAATGATGATCATAAGAAGTAACTTTCGTAAAAGGGAGCAGAAGTATGTGACATAAGACATAGTCTAGTAAAAGGAGATGAATAAGTATATGACATGTTATTCTCATACCAAATGCAAGTTTAGGAGCTAACAATTTACCATTCATCATTTCTTTTGTCATATTCTATGCTAAAAGCTTGGAGGATTAATGACATAGTAGAACCAGGAGGCAGATTATTTCCCTATTTTACAGAGTTAGAATTCAGGAAGGTCAAATACCTTGTTTAAGGAAAACCACGGAGAAAGGGGCAAACCCTTTCAAGTGCAGGGTTTTTTCCATAAATGAAATTGTGTTCTTTTTTATGCATCAGGTGTATGAGGTTATGTTTATTGGCAATAGCTGACCTCAGTTTACCTATTAAGAAGCCTTAAAGTGGCTCAGGTTCTTTTGATGTTATGGTTATTGGTTCTGGGGATGGTCTCATAAAAAATTTCAAACAGATAATGCCAATACTGAATGATTTAGATAAAGAATGAACACTCCATTAAACCAATCTTAGCCCTTGATGAATTTTTTTACTCATTTGCTCGTTTTTTTTTTTATTTTCATTTTGTTTTTACTGAAAATTTAACAAAATCAGCTATTTTCACTTAAATAGTATAAACTATGTCGTGTTACAGCTTCTCTCTTGAATTGCCAGTGGTTGCTGTATTTCCATCAAATCGAATTGTGTCAAATTTTGCAGATTTAAATTTCATCAAAATTTGTATCACTTCTGATCAATAATAAACGTTGTCTGCTGTTTCAGCCATTGTCATTTTTTACTTTGTGACAGTTCTATCATGATATGCATTATCAGCTGGACAAAAGCCATACTTAACTTACAAATGTACAGCGTTTTTGTCAGCGTGAATAAAGCATTCAGATTTATTGTTTATCACCTCTCCCTTGCTATCTTAAAGTTCCAAGCCCTTCCCTAAGTGAGTGCTCCTTGGAGGTCCCACACAATGTTTTCTTTGCTCGGTAAAATGCATCACAGAATATTTTAATGGTATGATCCTTTGCCACAAAAGAATGAGGAACTTGTAAAGGCAGGGCTTTAATCTTACTCATTTATCTCGGTGGTTAGCACAGGCCCTAGCGCACAAGAGGTTTTAAAGAGGCCCCCCAATTCCCATGAGAAGACAATTAGTTCCCTTTAGATACCAGGCAAATGAGGTGCTACTAAAAATGGTGAGATTATCCTAAAAGTCCATTATCCGATACATTTATAAATTTGGCTGGTGCTCACCATTCTTCCCTCACAAAATATGGCCCTCTGCTGAAAGACAACATGTTTATAATCCTGACCCTGCAAAATCCGGGGACAAGTTTGACATGTGGTTCTTTCCCTTAAAAAACAGATGCCTAATCCAGCGGGAGTAGATGTCATACACCAAATGAACCGCAACACTGCAGCTTCAGGCCCTCAAGTCAGTCGGAAGCCGTACCTTGCCGGTTCGTGGAGTTAAATAAGTTCACAAGTAGCAACCCTCTTTCTGGCCCCACAGGAGAAAGGCCGGGGCGAGGGAGGGCCCTGCGGACCAAGCCAAGCCAGGCAGGCCAGGACAAAGCCCTTGCGGCCTCCACGCGTCGCCATGGCAACGTGGCGTCCGTGCCGGCTGGATTGGCCTGGCCGGGGGCGCGCGGTGCCTTCTGGGATAGCACGTCCCCGCCGCCGCTCCGCCGGTTTGAACTTGGCGGGCGTGATGTGGGCGGCGGGGCAGCTGGGGGCTGCTTTGCCCCCTCGCGACACCAGGTTCCCGACCTACTGCAGGTCCAGGTCTCGGCCCTCCTCGGGGCCCTCCGTCCTTATGGCGGGGGCCCGGGAGCAGGGGCTGGGGGCTGGGACAGTGTGCTCGCTGTCGCCGCCGCTGAGCTGCAGTAGTAATTCCACCATGTCGCTGTTGTCTCCCCTCGGCCACCAGAGCTTCCCGTTCGACGACAACGATGGTGACGGGGAGGAGGAGGAAGACGAGGACGAAGATGCCCATGGCTCAGAGAGCAAGGTGGAGAGCTTGAAAGGAGTGGAGTTACAGGGGTGTGCCAGGTAAACTCGAGGCCACCGGCCCATACACCCGCCGGCCCAAGTCCTTTTAGGCCCTTGTCGGTGCCTTTGCTGGCCAGACACCTTCCTGTCTTAACCCCCAAAGACTGCAGGCACGAGCATCCTGGGGTGCCGCCCCTTTTTGCACATAGTGTCCTGAGCCAGTTCCTGCAAATGATAAGTTTTCTACAATTCTTAATTATTCTTTTCTTGAAAATAGGATCACAACAATCTCATATAGTCTCAAACACACAAAAATTTGCTACCATTGTCGGAATTGTGTATGTATATTCAAAAGTCTGATTTTGATCACCAGAACTCTTGTCCAAACCCATAACACCAAAATGTGGCTTACTGCACCTTAGGGATACCTGTAGCAATTTTGGAAAAAGGCGATTGTCAGTGTGAATTAGGTTGTAGTAAGCAGTATACTTTAATGTTATAAATAATGAACTGAATCACATTTTTTAGCAGTGTCACTCTCAGCATCCAGAGTCAAAGCTGCCTGATTTGAGCACTAAACAGTGGAATAGAAGTCATTAAATTAAAGAGTTTCAGTACCAAAGAGATTACTACAACCATCTTAATTTATTTATTTTACAATTACTCATTCTGCAAACATTTAGTTTGTGCCACATAGTAGCAGAGATACTGAGGACTATAAACAAGATAGACATGATCTTTTTACTACTGGATTTACAGCCTAGTTCAAGCCACCCATTTTACAAATAACAAAATTAACATAGGATACAAATAACAAGTCTGATAAAAAGTATACACCTAGTTATTAACTAGCTGGGTACTATCAGCTACATTCTCTGTTTTCTACATGCCTGTTATTGTTATATAGAAAATAGACCCAAGACCTAACCCTGAAGGTTTATCTTTTTCTGAGACAAGCAGTATGATTCAGTTCCATTTTGGGATAAACTTCCTGCATCCTCTTCAGAAAGCATTTACAAACTTCTGATTATCAAACTCTAAGCCACAGTATCAGGCTATAGGACCCAGGTAAGCAGCAAGATAGCCCTCTCAGTATAAGGTAATTCATACCTGGAGTGAGTGAATTGGGATATGGAGCTATATGAAATGACTCGTATACACAGTTACAGCATTGAAACTCTATGAGAATTACAGGAGTATCCAAGCAAGCCACTTGTCCAGACTGATTGTAGCAACAATAAACCAGTCTTTGCTGATCAACCTAGTAGTATAACTTAGTGGGCAGTATCAATTTTAGGAGTCCATTTTCATAGCAGCCTTCCTGGAATTCTTCGGCCTCAGCTGATTTTTATTTAAAAGCTTTGGGAAATACCTTCTGACTCTTAATCAATAGGACTAAGCAGTAGACAGTTTAACAGCCTAAGGAATGATGATGCCTATCAAATTACAACTCAGTTGCTTTTCATTTTCAGAATCCCCCAAGGGATTAAGAGATTGACGTTAGTATGGGGATGGAAGAGGAGTGATATGGAAAGAAATATCCTAGATTGGAGTTCGGCAGGAACTAGATCATCCCCTTGGAATTCAAATAAAGAATAAGGTTAGGAATGAACTTGGGATGTTGGGTTGAGGATTGGCTTAAAGTTGTATCAAGTAAGACTTTGAACTCACTGGGTATCTCCTTATTAGAGACTCCCTATCCAATACCATTGGTTTATGTGTACCACATATGTTTGAAATTTTTCATAATAAAAAGTTTTAAAAATTTATTCCTTTGCCTAGAATTCCAGAATATCAGAGAGGCAATCATTTAGCCCAGGATCAATGCCTGTTTAATCCATAAATGATTACTGGCAGCATGAACATTAGGAAAAAACATTAATCCAATGACGTGGTATAGAAAATGATGTCCCAAGTGAAGGAATTATGTTGAGAGGAAGAGGTTAATAATGTCTGTTTAAATTGTAGCCATATGTTTTTGTTAAACAAGGGATAGCAGTCTTTGTTATATGACTTTTTTAGTGCTCCTAGGTGTGATTTAACAAATTTAGTAGATGGTATAAAAACAAAACTACAACTAAGCTTCTGAGACCATACTTTAGCTTCCAAGAACCAAAGACCTGAGGGAAGAGCTCACCAGGCCCAGAGCCAGGCGTATTTCTGTTTGCCCTTAGCCAAAGCCAGAAGGAGCTGGTAGCATCCCATGGCTAAGCCTGCCTTTCTTCTCCTAATTAAGTCACTTAACATAAAAAAAAAAAGTTAAGTTAAGATGTGGAATGGAAAGTGGATGTTGTCAGCATTGTGCATGGCAAGTGTCAAATGCTATTAGGCTTCAGAAAGTGGGTGTGCATTTCCTATTTCCTGGAGAACTGATAGAAGCATTTTCAAAAGCTTTAGAAAAATATTGCTTCCTTTTAGGAAAATTAAGTGCTTAGAAAATTTCCTTATTCCTCCTCCCTACCTGTAACTTTCAGTAGTGCCCCAACTAAATGGTTTGGGGATGATGGGATGAGAGGAGGCAGCTGTGTTCTAGGCAATGACCGTCCGCTGTGTGGATTTTATGCCCTTTTACCATCCTTTATTGGTCACAGTGATCGACTATGTAAAGAATAACAGGGAAGGCTTTTTTGAGTCAAACATCAGAAAAGATAATGAGTAGACTTTTCCTGTAGTCTTCTATAATATAATTTGGTCCTGCTGTTTATTCAGCTTTATCCTTGTTTCAATATCATTCTGTGCATTGGAAACCCATGTCTTAATAAATGGCTTGGTCAGAAATGGCTTTTTATCAGGCTTCTGATTACTACTAGAGCTGTGATACATGTGTATGTTACACATTTTGAACACAACTTAAAAATGTTAGGGCAAGACATTTAATACTTAAAATATTATTTAAAAACTGATTCCGTCTTTCAACAAATTTTGTTAGAGCACACTGTATTCTAGACCCTAAGCTAGGCTTTTGTTAAGACATGTTTCTGTCTGTTTAGGAATTCATGTCCTCTAGCGGAGATGGACAAATGCAAAACCCAAACTCCTTATTCCACATATTTTGCAGAGAGTTTCACAGAGATGCAATAAAGACTGCCTGAGTTGAATCTTGGAGAGAGAGTAGGAATTAACTGAACTATTAAGCGACATACACCAAATGGCTCTGAGTGCCGGGCACTGTGTTAGGAGCTTTATCATGCTCTGTCTCCTACTGTAGTACCTGTGAGGTTGCCTCTACTGTTTCTTCATTTTATAGATGAGAAGCAGAGGCTTATTGGAGTTGAAAAATGTGCACAGCTGGAAGAAAATAGGTACCGATTTACCCTCAATGTTTTCTTCCCAAATCTAATCATACTTTTGGCCAAGCGTGGAGGTGAAGGAAAGGCATTTCAGAGTTTTAGGCACAGCTGCAGAGCACAGCACATGGTGCCTGCTCATGAGCCTTTTTCCCACTAACATACGAACTCCTTAAGGACACAGATACTAAGAAATAGCAGGAAAAAAAAAGGCACAAGTAAACTGACACTTAACAGGTAGGAAAAAGTATATAGCAGTGGATGAAGCACTTGGTTGCCAGAAACAGGAATATTCATTTTTTATTATATATATATTTGACATCATACAATGTGTGCTTTCTCATCCCCATATAATTCCCACCACCAGTTCACCCCTGTGTCTCGCGCTCTTCTCTCCCTCCCCTACAGAGAGTCTCTGAGCTATAGTTGCCTGTTAATGTTGTTCTTTTATTTATTATAATTATTATTTTTTCCTGATTTCCTTACTTGGTCCCCCTACATTCTTCTTATAGAGGAAACCAACTGCTATTTTTCTTTTTCTTTCTGGAAAAGTTGGAATATTAAGGAGACAAAGAGGAGATGAGTCTTTAATAACAGTCTCTAGAGTGGCCCTGGGTGCCGAAAGACCATTCTTTACTTGGGTGCTAATTATTCAGCTTTTGCAAAGTTTTATGAGGCTTGTTTATCTAGCCAGGCCCCTGTCATTTTTTATTTACATGTGTCCAATGACTCTTTCTCCTCCCTTCTCTTTAACGTAGCTGTGTATTTTCTTTTCTCGTTCTCAGAAGAGACAGGCTGACAGCTGTGCATGGTAGAAATAGAGACAGGAGGTAGGTTAGGAATCTAGGAAGCTTTAGAGAGTCCAAAAAATGACAAAACAGAGTCAACCAAACATTAAAGAATACAAAGGCTGTATAAACATTTCGTAACTTTATTTTAAAACAATTTCAAACTTACTTGAAGTTGAGAGTATAAAAAGCTTCTGTTCACCCTTCACTAAATCTCTAATTGTTAACATATTTGCTTTATCATTTTCTGTCTATGTACATATTCTATTTCCCCCCCCTAGATTTTTTTTAAAATTTATTTATTCATACAGAATTGGGGTACAGGCAGAGGCTCAGGGGCGGCGAGAGGCTTCACCAGAGATAGAGCGGGGAGCAGAACAGGCAGATCAACAAAGTACACTGCTGAGGGGAGCAGCGGCCTTCAGGAGAGGTCTGCTGCGCCACGTGGATCTCTTCCGGGGCAGGTGGAATCGAATTTATGCGGAAGTGGCTTAAGCTTCTTAGTGCTGTGCTTTCACCCACTGCGCCACCAGGGAGGGCCCTGGCACCCTAGATTTTTTAAGGGAGCAAAAGGGAAAAGTCTGTCCCAGGATCTGGTTAGGATCATGTATTGAATAGTTGTCCAGATAAAAGATTTCTTAAGAATAAAAAATTATTGTTATTGAGGAAAATGGACTGTGTATGGATTATCCCAATGGGTTTTTAATAATGTGAGGTTAGAAGATGAAGGGATGTAAAGGCAGCTTGGTGATTAAGCTAATTCAAATATCTGAATTTTTCATGATCTTTCAATGTACATTTATTTTTTTATTATTTTTTTAAAGGTTTATTGATTTATGCATACAGAACTGGGGTATAGGCCAGAGTTGCAGGGGTAGTGAGAGTACTCACTAGAGAGAGAGTGGGGAACAGAACAGACAGACTGATTAAGTACATTGCTGAGGGCAGCAATGGGTGAGACAGGAGAGGTCTGGTGCACCATGTGGGTCACCTCGGGCGCAGGGGAGTGAACTCACACTGAAGCAGTTGCACCTAGCTTGCAGTGTTGCACTGCAATGTACATTTCTATAGAATTAATTTACATGTATTTATAAATCACCATACTACAAAATTAAATTCTGCTTAGGCCTTCTCTTTATGCCTAAGTGATTTTTCTAAGTTTTTTACCACTACAAGCACTATAGTATCCTTTCTTTCATCATAGTGAATTTTACTCAGAAGATAACCAAGAAAAGAAACAGGTGCCCTTATCAAAAAGCAGCCTGACACCATGGGAAATGTGGTTTGTGGGCAAAGAAAAAGAAGAACGTGATCGTCAGCAGCAGAAAGCTTTAGAGGTAAAACCAAGATAATATGCTTTATATTGAATTCATGAGTTCACAAAGGATAGCTGCTATTGAATTTGAAATGTTAGTGATACTACTCCTCAGAACAAAGTTTTCCATTGTTTGAATCAGTTTGTTGATGTATCAGTTTTAATAACTCTCACAGTACATATATATTATTTGTAAGAATATTTTGAAAATACAGCTAAGCATAATTAAGAAATTTAAATCTCTAATCTTACCATTTGAAGATAACATTTCCTTTGTAAATTAGTATGTGTATATCTGTGTGCATACACACAGCCATGTACACACATATCATATACAGGAGCTTCACCATGTATATATCTAACTACAGGTAAATTCAGCTACATATACTTGGTAAAAATAATTTAAAACACTTTATTTCATTTATTTTTAATCGTATTATTTTGTTGGTTTATAAGCCATATATGATTTGGTGTTGAATCTATCTTCAGATGTAGGTTACCAGACTTGCCCACCACCGAAGCACCAATGATCTTCCAGTATATTCTGTTGGGCTACCTCCTCCTTTAATCCCTCCCTACATCCAATTCTGGTAACCTCAAGTCTATAGTCAACTTTCTGGGGTTTGTTTTGGCTTAGTTTAGTCTGTTCTTTTGTTTCTCTATGTTTCACAGATGAGTGAGTCATCTAATATTTATATTTCTTCTTCTGATTTATTTCACTTAGCATAATCCCCTCCAGTTCCATCCATGTTGCTGAAAAAAGGCAAAATTTCATTTTTTTAAATAGTTTTCCATTGTGTTTGGGATTCTGAGCAATGAATTCCTTATTCTTTGAACTCACTGTTTACAATGTAGGACTTAGCAAACAAACAGATTTGAAAATTTGACATACCCTGTATTAGACTTACTCTCTTACTCTCTGAATTCTTGTTCGAACTCAGTGCCAAATGTCAGTGATGAGGGAGATGAAATAGAAACAAACTTTAGTAGCCTGTTTTCTTCTGATTGCTCTATTACAGATGTATTTCTATACCCTTCCATAGTTTTCAAAATAATTTAAAGATGTCTCGCTAATATTACTATATTTAGAATTTATTACATGTAGAATATAAATGTAGTGCATAAAGTGTACTAGTTCACTGGTGTTGGATATTTAAGTTTATTTCTTTATGTTGGTAACCACGGTGCCATTAAAATCTTTAGAACTAAGGCTTTTCCTTTCATGATCTTCTTTTGACTAAATTTTCTAAATTAGTTTTGAAACTAGCTGTTATATCTGTAGTTGGTTTCTAATCAGGTAGGTAGTCAGGTTCAGAAGGGTTGGCATGATTAGAGGATTTGTGGAAAGCAGTAGCATTCTGCTACTTCTTTCTGCATGATATTTTGTATTCTAAAATAGCACTCATTCCTGCGACCTGCACAGGAGGTACCTCTCAGAAGGTACAGGACTTGCGAAAGCACTTTGGTTTTAAGTAGTAGAAGATAGCTGGTGTTGTTTTTATTGGTGGTTCTTATTGATATCATCTATTCATATCCTTCTGAAAACTTTCTCATTTATATTCAGAATTAAATTATTGAGACTGCAGATGCTTTACCTCAGCCTGTGTTTTAACATTATTAATTTCATTATTTAGTTACCTTCAGGGTATTTATTCACAGTGAGGAACTTAGTTACTTCATGCCACACACACTTGCAATACATGTATACATATATATGTATACACACACAGACAGAGAAACACCATATACATGCATATCTGAAATGGTATCTTTAAAAATATTTTTTAAAGATTATTTATGCATAGAAGAACTGGGGTACAGGCCAGAGATGCATAGAAGGGGGTGAGAGGATTCACCAGAGTGGGGAGCAGAGCAGGCAGATCCACTAAAATACACTGCTCGGGGGAGCAGTGGGTGAGACAGAAGTCTGCTTTGCCAAGTGGCTCAAGCTCCTTGACCGGAGAGTGAACTTGTGCTGCTGTGGCTGCAGATGGCTTCATAATGCAGTGGCTTAACCTGTTGCACCACCAGGGAGGCCATGAAATAATATCTTAATGTTGGTAAAATGTGTTATATTTTGTTTTTATTTTAAGTCTGGTTATAACCCATTCAATGGCTTTTATATTTTTAGTTTGGAAAACACTGATTTAGCTAGCCAGTGGTGAATTAGAGCTCATTTTATGGTAGTCAGCTTTTCTCTGGGCTCAGAAGTTACTGTTAGATTAAGAAAAGGAGGGTCACTTCAAGTCATTTTAGAATCAGCTTACAATAAAGCACTAATTAAATCATAGAAAATTCCTAAGGGAGCAGCCCCGGCTTTGGAGGGCTGACTGAATCTTAGTGTTTCCATTCTAACTTTGTAACCTTGGGAAAGTTAATTCTCTGAACCTCTGTCTCTTCATCTATAGGCTAGTTGTTAAAAGTGGCAGTAGGGGAGATGTTGAAGTGTAAATTTTGGGTCATACTTTCTGGATTCAAAACTTGGAAGTCCAGCAAATCTTTAACCTATTTCTTGATTTCTTTATCAGTGAATAGGGGAAAGTATTTACCTCATTGTTTTGTTATGAGGATTAAATAAACATCAGGATTGGCCTCATTAGAGGCAGCATTCAATAAAAGTTTTTATTGTGTGTGACAGGAGATAATAACTACTGAAAATTTGTTTTGAGAACTGATAAAAATAGTCAACTTAAATTCCCTATAAGAATGAATTTAGGGACTGTAGCAAGGTAAAATGGTTGAAAGAATCTTTTGATATATTTGGTAGTTTGCCATTTTCTAGCTAATAGATGTAATAGAGTTATTACTTAATTCTGAAGCAATTAAAGTAATTTAGTATGAATTTTACTGAATCAGGTCATGCCAGAGATACCTTAATAGACCAGCTGTTCAATTTATTATACAACAATTTTGAATTGTTGGGGTACTCACATTTTTTCCAAACTATTTCCCTTTATTTTCTCAACACACACTTTATTTATTTTCTCTCCTTGGTCACTGTATTCTCTAACTTGTTTACAAATCAGCATAAAAAGCACAGATTTTTAACAGTAATCAACAGTTCATCCCAGATCCCTACTAAAGCATGAAGTTCAGAGAAGTAACTGTGTCAAAGAGAAGTTTAAAGGTTTCAGTTAGTGCTGAACTGGGACTTGATCCTACTTTTTTTTTTTTTTTTTTTTTTTTTTTTTTTTTTTTTAAGATTTATTTGTGCATACAGAACTGGGGTACAGGCCAGAGGCTCAGGGGTGGCGAGAGGCTTCACCGAGACAGAGACAGAGTGGGGAGCAGAACAGGCAGATCTACGAAGTACACTGCTGAGGGGGAGTAGCAGGTGGGTCAGGAGAGGTCTGCCCTGCCATGTGGTCATCTCTGAGGCAGGTGGGAATCTAATTCATGCGGAAGTGGCTTTAGCTTCTTAGTGCAGTGCTTTAACCTGCTGCGCCTGCCACCAGGGAGGGCCTGATCCTACTTTTTTTTGACTTCCACCTTAAGTCAGAATTCTTCCATGGTACCAAAATGGCATTTATCAATACATGGTCAGTATTTAATTTTCAATATACACTGGCATTCTTACTTTCTCCTTTGACAATTTAAATGGTTGTTGGGACATTAGAAAGATCATTCTCTTTCATAAATTTAGTTTTAATTTCAGTAACACACATTTAGATTTTTTCCAGGTATCTTTGTAAAATTGAATTTAAAAAAATGATTTAGTTCATTAAAATTACCCATTTATAAAATTTGTATACTTGTAGCTATGTTAAAATGATAAACATGGCAAATTTGAATGTACATAATGCTAATGTATTATGCAGTGTATATGAAAACCACCATATTGGTTTTATAGATCGTATAATTGTCACTTAATTTTTTTTTTTAAGAGTTCCTTGGTAGACCACCCTAAACTCTCTGTGACCTTTGGTTAATTCTAATTTTTAACATTTGCTCTAGCATTTTAGTACAATCTGTTATAAATTATAAAAATTATCTAGTTTGTAAAAGCAGGTGCTTTTTTTTTAATCCCAGTGTCTTGCCTTTGGCCATTTCATTCATCAGCTTTTAATGAAAGAATAGGGCAGGATATAGAGCTGGTGAAACTCAAAGCTGTCAGTTTTTTGTTTGTTACCTTCAATGGTAAGGAGATCTTACCACTGAAAGTTAGCAAAAGCTATCGAAATGAAAATGCATATTTAGGGTCCTTTTTAGATTTTGGTTTTCCATAATCAAGAGTTTCCTCTGTGGGAAAATAGCTATAATTCTGTTGAAATGCAGTGGTGTACCAGGAGAAAACTAAGGGGCGTTGTGAGAGGAGACTCCAGGCCTGCCTCGGCACTGAACAGATGGAGACATTCAGAGTGGGGACTTCTAAGAGGGCCGCCTTGGAAGGGAGGATTGTGTCCTCAAATGTGATATATATTCAGCAATGGCAAATTACTTAAACAGACATCCTGAGATTAGAGTACTCTTTGGTCAATGGTAGGCTTTTCACAGCACTTTCTGACCTTTCTTTGATCTTTAACTCTCCATCAACATTTAGCTAAAATTTGTGAACCATGAAATAGGAAACAAATTTTGTTTTTTTCCCCTGATTTTTGAGTTTAATTATATGAGAAATCTTATAAAGGTTAATAAGTATAATCAATCAAATCTTTAGTCTGTATTTAAGTAATTACTTTTTCTTGAAAATAAAAATCAGGACTATTTTAGAAAATTTTGGGAGATGTGGTTTTTCGACCCAGCCTGTGACACACACATTCCCCTTCTTGTTTCCTGATACAAGTAGAGACCAGACCGCCTTCTCCTTATAGCCCATGTGTTATGGAATCTCCTAGTCTCCTCACAATAGCCCTGCTCTCTTCAAATATGATCTTCAACCTTTATCATCAAGTGCTCTAAATCACCCCTTTGGCAGTATATTCCTGCTTCATAGTGTTCAATTTATTCTACCTATCTCAAAAGAGCTTATTCCAGCTTAATGCCACACTCTAATTTTCTGGTCTCGTCCCCAACTCACCCTTCTAGTTAAACTTTCTTCCCACTATTCCTCTTGCATTCTCCATTTCTGATAACTCTGGTCCACACCATATCTTTATTTCCCCTTTTCTAAGTTCTTTTAGATACAATACCTTGCAATGTAGCACTTAATTTGTTTGTGTGTATGGAATCAGATTAGATCAGACTTCTGGAGTTTTATCTCTGTATCTCAGTTCTTGCTACTTTTATGTAGTAGGCATTCCATTAAAGCGTGACAACAGACCTTTGAATAATGTTGCTTCATTATAATGTTGATGAGGAAAAAAAGAAATCCTTCCAGCTGTGCACTTTCCTTCTATGTCATTTTGCTTAAAGTGGTAGTTTCCAGAAACTTAAAAATAGTCAAGGAAATCAGAGGTAATGAAGAACCCTTTTAAAAGATACAATTTGTACTTTAGGTGGGAGGGTGCAGTATAATGTTTAAAAGACTTTCAGAAGAAAAAGAAAAATATTGGAGCGTTTCACTTATAGGAAGAATGTAGAAGAACCAAAATAAGGGATCAGGGGAAAAAAATATTAATTAAAAAACAAAATTAACAGATAGCTATAAATTAGACACTCTGCACAGGAGAAGGAGAGAGAGGGATCAAAACAGTAAAGAACACAAGGGACTATGGTGATGGTGCACATGTGAATTGGCAGTGGGGAATTTTACAGAAAGACAGCTAAGAGGAGAAAGCATGCATTGTACAAAAAGAAAGAATGATGTAAAATATAAGTAAATACATAAATGTAAAAAAATGTTAAACTAAGTTTAAAAACATTGATCAAAGACTTTCTGAGTAAGTGAGGGCAGCTCTTTCATATGCAGAAGAATTTAGGCTGAGGGGTCCTATAAAGTGAGAGGTTCCTATGACCAGTTGTTCTAAAGTACAAGAGATACAACATTCCTGGTGTAAATTTTATCATCACTTTTTGTAACAAACTGGGATTGTCAGAGAGCTGAAAAATTGTCCTTCCCACAAGTACCTGTGCCCAGGTAGGTCTTTGGGAAAGGGAGGGTTAGGCAGGACTAGGGGCTAATCAAAGACTTATAAAAGGATCTGATTATTAGTATCTAAGGAGGGAGAAGAAAAATAACCAGTAATTATGGTCCTAGAGTCCTAGGAAGTCTAGTTTGAACAGCATTCTCAACTAATGCAGTAATTGAACTGATGAGTGACAGTGGTGGCATTCAGCTTGCAGTTTTATTCGGCCATACCTTCCACATTCTTTCTCCTGTGGAAATGCCCAAACGTGTATGTTCGAGTGACAGCACGGCAGTTAAATAATCTGGGATATGAATGTGGTTTTGTCTTACACTCTAGCAGCTATAAAATCAGTGAAGAAAAGCCTGGATTCTTTTTTTCCCCCTAAAGAAAATCAAATAGTTTCCTTACGTTTCTTCTGTGGTATAAGTCAGAATTAAAATTTTAATTTAAGGATTATTTAATTCCCATCCTTTATTTTCCTCAAGAAACTAGAAGCTTTTTATAACTGTAAAAAAGTTGTAATTCTCTTGAGATACAGCCAATAGCATAAGTGATGCCAAAATTTATGTGTGGGAAAGTTGATTTCAATGAGTGTAATTTAGCTCAAGTTTAGTCTAAGAAACCAGTGTTTCGCTGCCAGGCAGTTATTTGCATTTCTAAAAAATGATTTATACTTTTAACTGAAGCTTTCTTTTCATCATAGACTAGTTACTTAAGTAAGTCATTGTCACTAATGGTATATTTTCTATAAAGGAAACTATATCCTTGTTTAATCTGGCTAACCTTGGCCTTTTTTAAAATGTTATTTGAGTGCTTCTATTAAATGTTGCCTATTGTTTGAATAATATCCACAGGAATTAAATCAAGAACTAGAAAAAAGAAAAGAAATGGAAATACGTGAAAAAAGAAAGATAATTGCTGAAGAAAAGCACAAGGAATGGGTTCAGAAAAAGAATGAACAGGTAAGGAGGAACAGAAATGCACACACGCCTAATGAAGTCTTGTTTGCAAAGCTTCCTTCCCGTTGTGCCTCACTGCCTAGTTTTTTTGTATTTGTCTTTGGACTCTTTCTTCACTAGTTTCTCTCTTTACTCTCCCTGCACGGACAGACCTTTATCTAGTCTGCCTCCTGTTCTTTGCTCTTGGCTTCTCTCTTTTCCCCAATGTGGCTTCCACTTGTGTCTTTCTGCAGAGTCATGAAGTCTTCTTACTCAACCTCACTTTCTGGAATCTTGGATTTCCATTTGGTAGATCAGTAGGCACCTCTAAGCCTAAAATTCTAAATGTGTTTTTGCCTATTCTCCCCTCACAGAACAATTCTGATTCCTTGATTTAGGTTATTATTACTCCTGTCATCTCAGTCTCTTTGGCATACTCAGAGTTCTGTTGTTAGTGCCTTTCCTTTACCGGGACCACTCTCCCACCCGGGATCTCATTCTGTTGGTTCTCATTCTAGCTTTCAACTTATTTATTGTTGATTTCTTCATACTGAAATGTAAGCTCCATAAGGACAGGGATTTTTGTCTCTCTATTTTAGTTCCCCAGCAACTGATCAGTACCTGACATAAGATGCCCCCAAATACTTATTAAATGAGTAAATCTGTTGATTTTGCTAAAGAGGTCTAATATCACTCCCCAACTCAAAAAATATTTTTCATGATTCCCCTCTGACCTCTGACTAATTTTTTTTTTACATTCTGGCTTGACTGGTGAAAGACTTCTCTCCACTCTCTTAGTCCTGTCTTCCTCTACCAGTGATCCCTCTCCTGCTGCCTACAAACATTCTCTTGGGAGTATGGTGATACTTCTTTGGAGTATCAGTTTTACTGGAAATTTTTGAGAGGAAAAGGTTATTTTTGTGTGAAAGCAAGTACAGATAATTAAAGAAGTAGAACATAAATTTTCTGTTATTTTTAAGCCATAGATTAGATTTCAACTAAATCTTGACCTTTAAACTGTGTTCCCCACCCCTTAGGGATATCTTGTCCATGAGAAATTTTGAGAACATTTTTCCCTTTTGCTGTTTCTCACTTCCTTATACTCAGATATAGGGCATTTTATCAGCATGGATATATCTGATTATACATGGAGGATATCTCATTATATCCTCCACCCCACCTTTCCCTGTATTACTACACTTCCTGCATGACGTGTTTGCATATCCCGTACTGGGAACTTTCCTTCTGTGAGTCCTTATCCATTTATTACACTCAGTCATGTACTGTGCTGTATTATATATATGTTTTGTTGCTGTTTTGTTCTATGCATGTCTTCATGTCCTTTGTAACTTTAAGGCTTTCAAGGATAGGGATTATTTTATATTTTTATCAATTTCCAGATCTAACATCATGCTTTGCAGTATAGTAAGCACTTGTTACGGGAGTGAAAGAATAAAAATATTAATAAACGTTTGGTCTGTAACTCTTGAATCTCGTGCCCAATGGTACTAGTGAAGGCACCAAGAAAGTACTTCTGTAAATTAAAGATGACATAATTTTCTATCCGGGTATTGTAAGAAAAAATTAGCTAAAACATGTGTTGTAACCATACATACATTTGTTTCTTATGTCAGATTGATTTCTTAAGGTTTGCTTCATCCTATACTAGAAGATTTTGTGTGTGTGCATAGATCCAAAAGTCAAAATAAGACTGTAGCCATTACTAGCTTTCTAGAACCTTTTTTGAAGTTTGTAACTGTAAGAATGTTTTTACATCTACAGAATATATGTTCTTTTCTCTAAAAGCTTCTGTTATCTCTAACTCCATTAAGCTCATTTTACCATGCCAATCAAGCATGGTTGTTGTTTGTCTAAGATGTAAGATACTGCTGAGAGATGATATAGTCACTGTTTTAATTAGTAGCAGAAAATCTAATCCAATTATTTGAGAAAGAAAATTCTTTTGGGGGGGAAGGAAATGGCTTGACTTGACATAAATCACTAATTATTGAAAGCAAGACTCCATAAGTTGAGAATAGTTCAAAAATGAACCCTGCGAAATTAAATTTACTTAATCTGGACAACTTTTGTGCATGTTAAGCAATAATTGATTACTCTATTTTTTTTCTTTTTCTTTAAGACCTATCAGATTTCGTATTTCAGTCTTAGTTACATTTACCTCTATTTGTAAAAACTGCTCTCCTGGTTCTTCTCTTCCTGTCTGGCATCTTAACTTTTTTCTCCTCTGTTTATATTTCGTGGTGTGTGGTCCTTTGCTGCAGCCAGTTTCATTCACATTTTAACTATATCTGTGGCATTACTTTCTCCAAGTCGTTTTTACTGTGTTCTATCAAAAAATTAGACAAAAAGAATGTATGTATTCATTCTTCTGGCTGTAAATTGTTAAATCTTTTTGAAGTAAATGGCTTATCTCATCTCATCTCTTACATTTGTGTTGCTGTTCTAATTCATCTTCTAGCTTTGTTTTTTTAAATGTATATTTTTTAAAATCTTCACTGTAGTTTAAAAATATCTAATTCTCAAAAAAAATTCTAATTCTCAATTAAAAATCTAATTCTTGAGACATAAAACTGATTTTGTAATGTAAAATATTAACTCAGATCAACAAAGTATGTGGCTGATAGCACTGCTATTAGTGAATCATCTGTATTCAGCACATTCACTCCATATTAGATAAGCAGAAAGAACCAAGATAAAAATTCAGGAACTTTAAGTAGCTCATTGTTTTGTCAGTTTCCTTCAGGTATAAGAACCAAAGGTTCTCTCAGGTCACCATCATTTTTTTTTAAACTTATTGTGGTGTTCTATATGGTATAGAGTCAGATTGCCAGAGGGCCCTACCTGATGGTGCAATGGGTGAAAGTGCAGCACTATAAAGCTGGCCCCAGCCACTTCAGCTTGAATTTGATCCCCAGCCAGGGAGGTGACCCACATTGTGTGGCAGACCTCGCCTGACCCATCCACTGCTCTCCTTAGCAGTGTATTTCAGTCAGTCTCCCTGTTTCTGCTCCCCTCTCTGTCTTTGGTGAGTCCTCCAGCCTGTGCCCCAGTTCTGCATGCATGCATAAATAAATCTTTTAAAAAATGTTTTTTTTTTTAAAGAGATTCAGAATGCCAGAAAAATCCAGTGCCTCTCATTCATAGGCTACCACTTTCAGTACTTCTCTTTGAGTGCCTGTCTTGTTCTTTTGTTAATTAAAGGCAGTCCATTCTCCCTTCTCTAGCTGAAATCCTAGTTGTAAAATGAACTTCATTGAACTAAAATCGACATGTAGTGATATAAACCTAAGTTTGATAATATACATAGATACCTATATAACCAGCACCACAGCCTAGAGAAAACATTTCAGTCACCCAAAAAGTTCCTTTGGGGTCCTTTACAGTGAACCGTGGCTCCCCACTCCCATTCAGATCCTACTCCTAGGATACCATTAATATGATTTCTGTTTATTTGAATTAGATATGACTTCTAGAATTCCCTTTAAATAGAATCATGGGCTATTATATACACACATATTTTGATATATATGTGTTTGTTCTTTTTGCTTTAAAATTTCCTGATAGTTCATGTATTATTTTTTTGTTTTGTTTAATTTTTTATCGCCGATTGGTATTCTGTTCTTTGGAATACCACAGATTGTTCATCCATTCACTAGTTGGTGGTCATTTAGATTGTTCTCACTTGTGGGGTATTATAAATAAAATTCCATAACCATCATGTACAGGTCTTTCTAGGGGCATTTATTTTCATTTCCCTTGGGTAAATGCCGTGGAGCTGACATGCTAGGTTGTGCAGTAAGTATGTTTCATGTTGTAGGAAATTGCCAAATTGTTTTTATAAATACTTGCCCATCACTGTTGTAGGAAAGTTCCTCTTGCATCACATCCTTGCCAAACTTGACATTGTCAGCCTTTTCACTTTAAGTCATTGTAGTGAATGTGTATGGCATGTGATTATTGTTCTTTCTTTTCCCTGTGCTTATTGTATTCATTTGATTGGTCATCATGACAAAATACCACAGACTAGGGGTCTTAAACAACAGAAACTTAGTTTCTTACAGTTTTAGAGGTTAAATATCTAAAATGAAGGTGTCAGCAAGTTTTTTTTTTTTTTTTTTTAAAAATTATTTATTTGTACATACAGAACTGGGGTACAGGCCAGAAGCTCAGGGGCGGCGAGAGGCTTCACCAGAGACAGAGTGGGGAACAGAACAGGGAGATCGATGAAGTACACTGCTGAGGGGAGCAGCGGGCGGGTCAGGAGAGGTCTGCCACGCCATGTGGTCACCTCCAGGGCAGGCGGGAATCGAACTCATGCGGAAGCGGTTTTAGATTCTCAGTGCTGTGCTTTAACCCGCTGCGCCACCAGGGAGGGCCGGTGTCAGCAAGTTTTAACTTTTCTGAGACTTCTTCCTTGGCGCGTAGCTGGAAGCCTTCTCTCTCTCTGTCCTCACATGGCCTTTTCTTTGTGCATGTGGCTCCGCAGTTCTCTTACTTCTCTTATAGACAGTAGTCCTGTGGGTTAGGGTCCTACTCTTATGTCCTCACTTAAACATTATTATCTCTTTAAAGGTCCCAAGTCCAAATACAGTGACACTAGGATGGAGACCTCAGCATAAGAATTTGGCGGGAGGGAAGGCACAATTCAGTCCATATCACTTAATGACTTGTTTTTACATCTCTAATTTTTGTTTTGTGTTGGAATAACTTTTCTTGCCTATTTTGTAGAGAGATTGTGTGGCTTATTATTGTAAGAGTCCTCTATATGTTCAGGCTACAAGTCTTGTCACATTTATTTTGCCCATAGAATTATTTAATGTGCATTTTGAAGAGCAGAAGCTTAAAAGTTGATGAAGCTTCACATTCTAGTTTTTTTTACTTTAGTTTGTGGATATTGTGTCCCATTTGAGAAATGTTTGTCTATCCCAAAGATGTAAAAATATTCTCCATTATTTTCTTCCAAAAAGTGTTTGTAACTTGAGCTTAGCCTGTATGCATATTTTTTTGCTTTAAGTTTAATGTGTGGTATGAGTTATAGATCAAGGTTAATTTTCTGCATATAAATAGCCAACTGCTCCAATATTACATGTTGAAATGTAATATTCAGTTACCTTGGTAATTTGATTTCAATTGCGCATATATGTTTGGGTCTATTTCTCAACACCATTGTTTCATGGATTTATGTCCTATGCCAGTATCATACTAGCTTATTACTATAGCTTTATAATTCTTGAATTTATAATTATTTTAATTAGATAGTGTGAGTCCACCAACTTTTTTCTTTTTCAGAATTCTTTGTTGGTCTGCATCTTCCATATACAATTTAAAATTAGTTGTTTAATGTCCGCCATAGTGTCCCCAATAGTGTCTGACATTGAGATTATATTATTTATTTAGGTCACTTTGAAGAAATCTGCCATCTTAGTCATACCAAATTTTATATCTGTAAAAAAATAACCCATTATTTGGGTTATCTTTGATTTCTGTCAGTAATGTTTATAGTTTTCTATCTACAAGGGTATTATGATTTTTTTTTAGATGTATCAGTAAGCATTTCATATTTTTGATGATGGGAGAAGATATCTTCCTTCTTCCTGATATTATCTTACAATTTCCATGCCTTCTTTTGCTACCTTAGTAACACTAGTCCTTAAAATGAATTCAGGTGTATTCTCCTCTCTTTAAAATTTTTGTTATAATTGGTATTTTTCCTTAAATATGTGCTAGCTCTACTAATTGAAGGAGCTTTGTTGGTAGGATAGTTTTTAATTCTAAATTGTTATCAGTAGATGACTGTTCAGATACGGTATTCTCAAATCAGTTTTTGTAAAGTGGTATGTTTTAAGGAATTTCAGCATTTAAATTGTTGAACTTATGACATAAAATTGTTTTTAATGGTATCCGTAAAATCTGCAGTCACCTATTACTTACTAGCTGTGTAACCGTAGGCAAGTTGCTTAACCTCTTTGTGCCTTAGTTTCCTCATTTGAAAAATGAGAAGATAATAGCATCTATCTTGTATTGTGAGTTGTAAGACCTTAGTTGACATGGTAACTACATGTAAATTGTGTGAAATAATAAGAACCAGAGTTAGCATTCAGTGTTAGCTGTAATAATTAAAAACAATGTAGGGATTTGACTCCCTTACTGATGAGGTCATGGGAGAGAGTCTTGAGCCAATCGGATTGAGCAAGATGTGCTCTTAGATCTTTTTAAATTTGTAGATTTCCTGACAGTATGAAGTTGTTGACCTTTAGTATTATTTCAATGGATATTGGGTTTTCAGCTTAGAAAAAATTCTTTATTGCTGCTATTGGCTGGCCAAGAGGGAGGACATATTGCAACCTGGGGAATAAGTAGAGCTTTGATTTTCAAGACCTGCCTTTTGCACACAGCATAGGATATATGTTGTATGTAGCAAATGTTTGTTTTTCATATTATTTACATTATTTATAAACTTTTTTTTTTAAGAACTGGGGTAAAGGCCAGAGATGCGGAGGGTGAGAGGATTCACCAGAGACAGAGCAGGGAGCAAAACAGGCAGTTCAACAAAGTACACTGCTGAGGGGAGCAGTGGGTGGGCCAAGAGAGGTCTGCCACGCCATGTGGTCACATCCGGGGCAGGCGGGAATGAACTCATGAGGAAGTGGCTTAAGCTTCTCAGTGCTGTGCTTTAACCTGCTGTACCACCAGGGAGGGCCTATTTACATTATTTATATTAAAGTGTTGTACAAGATAGTTTTAAGGGAAGAACTTCTCGTTTCTTTGCTTCATGAAGGGCGATAACGTGATATTTATATTGCATAGACTGTATGCCTTGTCGATTATTTTCTAAATCATATTTTTGAAAAAGCAAGTTAAGTGTTCCTTTGGTTATTTAGAATTCAACTATGTTGGTGGATCATCTTTTGAAATAGAAAGGGAAAAAACAGAATTTTCAATATTTTTTTCTATAATGAACTAGTTAATAAATATTTTAGACTTTGTAGTCCATACAATCTTTGTTGCAACTACTCAGCTTTTCTGGTATAGTGCAAAAGCAGCCATAGGCCTAACTATGTAAATTAATGGGCCCAGCTACATTTCAGTACAACTTTATTTATAAATACAAGTGAGCTAGTGGAACAGATTTGACTAGCAGACAATAAATGTGCAACATGAGGTCCCTGTAAGACTTATAAGAATTGCATAGCTAGTGTTTTGCCTGAATGCGCCAATATAGCACTACTTAATGGGCCAAAATGTTACTCATGTGCTTTCTGTAATTCACTTGATGGTGAAGTTTATTCAGCTATTCATATTGGCAAACTGTTCAAGAAAGGTGTGCATTCGTGTCTCCTATTTTAGAGTAAATGATTAAAAATGCTATGGTTGGGCCCTCCCTGGTGGCGCAGCAGGTTAAAGCACAGCACAAAGAAGCTTAAGCCACTTTCCACGCGAGTTCGATCCCCGCCTGCCCCAGAGGAGATCCACATGGCGAGGCAGACCTCTCCTGACCTGCCCGCTGCTCCCCTCAGCAGTGTACTTCGTCATCTGCCTGTTCTGCTCCCTGCTCTGTCTCTGGTGAATCCTCTCACTCTCCGCATCTTTGGCCTGTAACCCAATTCTGTACGAATAAATAAATAAATCTTTTAAAAAAAATTGCTAAGGTTCAGGGCAATCAAATAGGTTGTAATTTCTCTTCACTGCCTCATTCAACATATCTTTACTGAGCACCACTGTTTCCTCTGCACTCTTTCCAGTTCTGCGCCTGCTTTGGTGAGTTTATCTCTTCCCTGCCCTCATGAGAGTTATAGGCTAGCTAGTGGACTGGCACTGATTTATCATTTGCAGGTTTGGTATATATTGTCATAAGCCATATGCACCACTGACTTGCCACCTATTTTAAAAGATAACTAAGGTTTAAGAAGTAACTTTATAATGCAGTCCTTATATGAGGAAAAGTGCAGGTATCTCAATTAAAATTCCTCCACTTTTATTGAAGCAAAGAAAAGAAAGGGAACAGAAAATTAATAAAGAGATGGAAGAAAAAGCTGCAAAAGAACTGAAGAAAGAACATTTGCAAGAAAAAGCAAAAGAAAAATATCAGGAATGGCTAAAGAAAAAAAATGCTGAAGAATGTGAGAAGAAGAAGAAAGAAAAGGTATTTTTATTACTATCACCAGTTAGAACACATGACTTTAATGTTTACCTGTGCCTACCATATTTTAGAAAAGTATTGAAGTCTGTTAGCATAAGGAATCACATGAAGCTGTTATCTCTTTTTATTCTATTTTTACTGTGTTTAAACTTTAAGAATGAATATGTATATGTATTTTTCTCTAGTTCAGAAAAATTAATAAACACTGATTTTAGTCAGATTCAAAATTTTTCACTGTTGTTGCCTTTTAATATCTTTGATGTTCCTTTATGGAAAGTCTTATACTATAAGTTATTTTTCTTTTAAGTAACAAATTGCTTTTTTCTTTTTGGGGTTGATATCTTATTGTAGTTTAGAGTTATACTCCTTCATTTCATATCCCTAGTCTTGTCAAACTGTGCTTTCAGATTATAGAAATATGATTGAATATGTATGGTCACTCATAAGCCATTTGAGTGGGAAGCTATTAAGGAAAAAAAATCAGTAGACTCTGAGTGAAATTTTTAGTCAACAGTATATCCTTGGAGATTCTTTGGTCTTGTCATTTCAAGGAAAAAGAAAAACAACGGCAAACTGAATTACAAGAAAAAAAGGAGATAGCAGAAAGAAAGTTTAAAGAATGGTTGGAAAATGCAAAAAATAAGCCTCGCCCAGCTGCAAAGAGCTATGGTTATGCCAATGGAAAGCTTACAGGTTGGTTTTATGTCATGTGGTTTACATAAATATGGTTTGTAGGAACAAATATTACACATTGACAGAAATAGAAATGTGTAAAAATCACTTTTCTTTCAAATTGCTATTTTCTGAAAGACAAACATACTATGTTGCTGTGGAGATACTACAAATTTATTGTCCCTCTCCATAAATCTCAAAGCAGTAGTTGTAAAACTGCAAGGCAATAATTTCTAACAACAAGAAACAGTAAAAGTCTCTTACTTTTCTGGATGATACAGCCTTAATCAGGATGTGTGTTAAGGGGCATTTTTCCTTCCTTTCTTCTAACTTTCTAAGACAGAGCTTCCCGTGCCTGGGGCCTTCTGCTTTTGCAGGGTGTAGTGCTGAACAGCCTCTGAGCCAGACTGTAGTCGGCATAGCCTTTAGGCGTCATCTGATTATAAATGGTGATGCAGGTTTTCCTTTGTGTTTCATGTTGGAAGTTCATACCTTGCTGACAGCTGCCTTCACTTGTTTAAGTGATTTATTATGAAAAACTCCCCATTCTGTTTTGTTCACACAATGGTACATATTCCAGACTTTGTGTTGACCATCTTAGTGAAGTGTGTGTTGACATATCTATGCAGTCAAAGTGGGCTGCCCATGTCTGAGTGACACATTCCTGCTGTCAGTATTGAGGCCTCTTGTCCATGCCACAGAGGTCATCCATTACAGCTACTGAGCATGGGCTGCACCTTCTGTTTTCATTCTTGTTTGAAAAAAGGAGTTATAAGTATTGGTTTTAAACAGATGATGAGATAGTAAGGTTAAAACTGCAGATGAGAAATATATTGACTAGAATTGATTTTTAAAAACAATCCATTCTATAGTAAAACAAAATTTATTTAGTAGACTAAAATTAAATAATAAAGTAAAAATCATAAAGTAAGTATTAATCTTTTGCACTGTAGTAAATGAGTTTTATTCTAGTAAATACCCTATTTCTCTTCACATGCTCTATATTCTCTTGGCTTTAAGTTTCTGTTCCTTACATCACTATCATTTACACAAGTTAGGAAGTAGAGAAATTTAGATGACTATGTAATTGGAAGATTCAGATATGCTACCAAAGTGTCGCTCCTTCACAGTTATTAGATGTCAGTCATCTAACGCTTTACAGGCTTCATATACATCCCAGTAGGAGAGCGTTCCCTAATTCATATTCAGAATGAGAGTGACATGACATTTTATTAATTTGAGTGATAGTAATTTTGAATTTCAGGGATTCTATGTGATTCACTGATTCTAAGAATCTTTATTTACTATACATATATGCAAAATGATATTTTCTATGGACTTAAAGTATATTGCTAGGGGAAATTAGCACATAATCATTCATAGTTTTGAGTTAAGAAAAGGAGACCTTGTTTAACTTAAGAATTCTAAAATTAATTTTAGTAAAAAGTTTTGTAGGAGCTTTTATTTATATGAACTTTAATGTTGACATTCTTTGGACTCTTGGAATTATCTTTTATATTTTAGCTTATACTGCAATATTTATTGTATTTTAAGTGTCCTTTGAAAATATTAAATAGTTTAAATTTTCGTTGAGTCAAATTGGTTTATCACTGGTATTTTTGGCATCCCATTTTGGTTTCTTGACATTTTTAAACATTTTTTTCTAGGTGTTTTAAAATAAGTAGTCTCTTTGTTCTCAAGAAGGTTTTTCTTTTTTTTTTTTTCTCCTGATTTTTAAAAAATTTTAGGTTTTTACAGTGGAAATTCTTATCCAGAACCAACCTTTTATAATCCAATTCCATGGAAACCAATCCATATGCCTCCACCCAAAGAAGCTAAGGATCAATCAGGAAAGAAGATCAGAAAGCCCGTTATAAGTCAGCCACACAAACCACCATCTCTGGTAGTTCATAAAGCCAGCAGTAGTCTTTGCCTTGGAACTCTTGGCAAACTGCAGAGATAGTAAATGTGGGAAATTGCATTCTGGTATTTGGTGCTATTTAATTTTTTAAGTTAGAGATTGATTTTTTTACTCCTTACTATTTCAACATTGATGTAATTATTGACAAACACAAATTTTGCATGTGTATACGGAGTCCTTAGAGTTTATTGGAGACAATTTTTATAGATATTTTCATTCTTACAATTATTTCAAGGTTGATCCCACATATTGTTTCACAGGATCAGTGACTAAATATCTAACAAGTGGTTTTGCATTTGGCTTCTGTTAAAATCCACTGTGCTACCAATAAAACCAGCATTTTTTCTTGTGCTCTTTTATACTCCATGTTGTTTGTTTGTGTTTATATTTATGAATATTAGATTAAGTCATTCAAGCCACTATATTTAACCTGGATGCTAGAGATACTAAGTGTTATACTTTTCACTTGTAGATATTTTGAAATAATCAAAATCATGTTTTATAACAAAGAAATGAATTTGGAATTTTTAAAAGGAAACGTTTAAAACTTTATTTTGTGCTCTGGGTCTTAGATTGATACATAGTAATCTTGAGACATTAACAATATTTTGTAGCACTTGGTAAAACTACTTTTATGTTATTAATAGGTTGCTAGTTTTGAAATTAGGATTATTAGTGCTTTATTTTTTAATATTAAATGCTATGTGATATTTTATTGAAGTTGCGCTCACAGACCTTATTAATAAATACATATTAAGACGACTAGTTCAAGGATTTATTTAACTAGCACTTTTTATTAAATTTTAAGTCTGTTTTTGTGGGAAAATGGTCAAGAAATAAAAATTTGTTGGGGCTATCTGAAGTTCAATACATTCGTTAGAAGTGGATCCTATTTATAATAGAGTACATTTCATGTTTCCGCTGATAGTCATCTGCCGTTTCTGGTGATTAACCAGCAGCAGTGTTGGGCAATACAAGGAAACAGCAGTAGAATTTTGAAGGGCATTCGTGTCATCAGAAATCTATAAACATTTACTTTTGAGCAGAACACTGTTCAGAAGGAATCAGTAGGTTTTGTTGGGTCAAAATATTGGTGACCATTTTTCCCAGAACTTTTCAGACACAGTGTGTCTTCCACATGGTTGTCCTCTGGTAAAGACCTATACAGAGAGACTGAAGAATGTGCCAGGGTAACAATAAATATGTATTTAAAATACACCCTGTACATAGTGCCTGTATTCTTGAGGGCTTAGGAAATAATTGTTAGATCTTTTAAAAACCTTCAATTTCACAAAGTAGATTAAGTCAGTTAGGCAACCTTAAGCAATAATCAACACCTACTAAGCATTTTTAGTCAACTCATTATTAATTAGTTTGGCCAATATTAGCTGAATATTTACTCTGTGACAGATGTTTTTGGATATTGATTTAGGAATTTAATGATTCAGCAAACATTTACAACCTAGTTAGGAAAACATGTAGCCACTCTCAGTGGGATAGAGTAAGTTCTGTAACACACTACTAAAGATCATGTTCAGAGTTCCTCTGGGTAGTTCAGTTCAGCTGCAAAGGGGTTAGGATGTGCCATTTGTGCTGTTAAAAGATAAGCAGGAATTCTCCAGATGGACATGGGACTGTCCACACTCATGGGCATGTGGTGAGGAGCAGCTGGGAGAAGCAGGTCTGAGTGTAGCGTTCTGCACTTGCCAAATTTGGACTTGATGTGATGGACTTGGATGTCTTGTGTTACTACCCTAGTGATCTATTTGAAAAAGATTTTTTTAGTATCCAATTTATTATTAAAATCCATTTTATTAATAGTTTTTTAAAATTTTTATTATGATAATTAATGTATCTAGGAATCAATAATAATTTATTAGTTCTTCAAACCAGTAAATGCAGCTGAGTACTAAGAGATTTGTGTTTTTAACCTGAATCAAATTTTCTTTAAGATTCTTTCTATTTTTAATTTAGGTTTTACATATTACAACCTTTAAAATTTCTCTTAACATTTTAAAAATCTTTAACTATATTACTTTGATTGAAATTGCTTTAAAATATCTAGTTAACATCTAATTCAGCAATTCATGATCTGATACAAATAACACAGATACTATAGATCTGAGTTTGTGTTCAAGGCTTGACTTTCTGTTTACTTACCTTGAGGTGCCTTAATTTTTTTCTCAGTATTTGATATTATCTAATTTAGAAAGCCATCATAAGGATATAAAATAACTAGTGAAAATACTTAAAAATGAAGTTTTTTTCTTTTTATATGATGATGTCACTGATAAAGATATACCAATATTATTTTTTATTAATTGATAAAAATACTTAAAAATGAAGTTTTTTTCTTTTTATATGATGATGTCACTGATAAAGATATATCAATATTATTTTTCATTAATTGATAATTCACTTATATAATAACTGGTGGCTAACGTACTCATCTTGACTGATACTATACCAAAAATAGGTCAATTTACCAGTGTATGGGGTAGACTTTCATTATCCCTCTCCTAGAGATAAAAAATATATACTATTGTTTTCACTTTCTTCAAATTGATTTCATAGATGTTATTGAATACCTGCGATGTGCTATTTAGTATTCATCTGTGAATAAGAGTGGATCCCTGTTGCCTTCATAGGATTTTATATGATGGTAATAGGAAACATATTAAACAAGTATTTATTTAGCTCTAAGTGTTATGAAGGAAATAAAATAGTACATCGGGATAAGGTGTAGGAGAGGGTCCACTACTTTAGATGAACGGTTTTCTTCTCTGAAAACCCAAGGCAGTAACATGCCTTGTAAAATCTGGGAAAGAGATGTCCAGGAAGAGGGAACAGTCAGACAATGGCCTTTAGGCAATAATTCATTTGGTGTGCTTGAAAAGAGGCCAGTGTGACTGGAGTGGAGAAAAGATAGAGAATAGAAGGAAGTAAGGTTGGAAAGTAGGGCAGGGCCAGGTGATACATAATCCTCAGTTCAGTAGTTCAAATTGTATTCTAATTGTATTGGGAAGCCTCTGAATAGTTAGAATCAGAGAACTGATATCATCCTGTTTATATTAGTCTGTCTGCTATGAGAAAATTGTCCTGTTGGGGATAAAGTCTTGAAGCAAGGAGACTTATTGGGAGGCTTTTTATGTAAAGAAGTCATGATAGTTTGGATAAATATGGCAGCAGCGACATGGTATGAAGTTGAGCCGTTTTGAAGATGAACCAAATGGGACCACTAGCATTTGGATATCAGATTGAGGGAAGGAGAAATACCCAGATATGACTTGGTGAAGGTAGCTGTAACAGACATCAGAAATGTAATAGGAGCACATGTAATGGCTAATAGGGAAAGGGTGGCCCTTGAGGATTCTGTCCTAAGTATGTTAGATTTATACTACCAATTTAATATTTGGTGGAGATAACAGTTACATATTTGTCTCTGATTATCAGAGGAAGGCCATGCTTGGAGATAGAAATTTGGGCAGTATCAATAGTTAGGTCTTTAAAGCATGGAGCTGCATCAGGTTATCTAGGAAGCATTAGACGATAATACTGAAAGTCCATTAATTTGAGGTTAACCAGTCAGTGAAGATCCTGAGAAGAAGACTCCAGTGAAATAGATGGAACCCAGTAGTAGAGTGTATATCACAGAATCCATGAGTGCAATTGTTAGAAGCAGGGAGTTGTGAAATCGGTCCAGTGCTGCTTGGGAGATAAGAATAGGAAAGGAACTTCACTGGGTTTGATAAGATGAACAAAAATCACTGTTGACCTTTGATGAACACTATAGCAAACATGTACTGAGTATTTTCTGTATGCCTGCTATTATTCTGTATTATTTTTTCTAATTTATTTATATACATATATACTTTATCACAATTCATTTTTGTACAATGTATGCTTCTACTCTCAAGTGTAGTTCTGGTAAAAGTCCTACCACCAATTCACCCAGGTACCATCATCATAGTCCCTTATACTCTTCCCCTTCCCTTTTTTGATCCCCCTTCTTCCCCATCCCTAGCAGAATGACTCTGATTTATAGATACCTATATATTTTTTCCTGATTCTTTATTTGGTTCCCGTTTTATCCTCCTATAAGTGAAACTGTCTGATAGTTTTCTTTTTACTTCTGGGTTATTTCACTAGGCACAGTCCCTTCCAGTTCCATCCATGTTGCTCTGAATGGCATGTGTTTATCTCTTTTTGATTGCTGAGTAGTATTCCACCATGTATATATACACACCACATTTTCCTGATGCAGTCATTATTTTGGGCATTTGGATTGTTTCCATATTTTATTTATTATAAATAGAGCTGCAGTAAACAGGAGTGCAGGTATCCTTTTGAATTAATATTTTTGTGTTATTTGGGTAGACTCTAGGAGTGGAATTGCTGGGTCATATAGTAGCTCCACTTTTATCTTTGCTTTTATATGTACTGACTCTTTAAATCTTCACAGCAACTCTATAAAATCCCATTTTAAATTTGAAGAAACTGAGGCACAGAGAAGTTATTTTGCTTTCATATGTAGCAAGGCATAGACCAGGAACTAGAGCTCAAAAAGTTGGAAGTCCAAGCTTAAATTTAACAACCATTTCCTCTTTACCTCCTTTGTTGAATATATAAGAAAAACTGGTATGAATCTTTAATTAATATAGGTTGAAGAATGAGGATGAAAGAGTGGATACCATACCTAAAGACAACTCTAGGGAGAAGTTTTCTAGTAGAGAGAAGAAATATGGGAAGGACACTGAGATTGGATATGAGGTCAGAGACATTTGTTTTGCTCAGGTTGAGTGATATTAAATGCATTTCTCTGCTGATGGTGACTCAGGTGAAAGAGAGGACTTATAGATTTAGGAGAGAGAAAGAATGACTTTAGGGATATAATTCTCACATAGCAAAAATGATGACTTAAATGAAACCAAAACCATTTCTTCTATTTTTAAGACAGAAAGCTCATGGTACAGAGATTCAAATGTAGCTGTATCAATAGCATTGGTGAGAGGAGGATCCTATAGGTAGCCATATCTGATGTCTTCAATGAAGTATGGAGGGGAGGCAAAGTTATCAGCAGAGAGATAGAATAAGTTGTGATAAGTATAAGGAAAAGGTAGTAGCAAAATGAGCATCTTAGGAAAAAACAAAATCACCAGAGAAACTACTGGAATCAATGGGCAGTGTTATATGCTCTTTGATCTTTTGGATCTAATAATTTGCAGAATTCTATTATGTTTTTCTCCATTTCTGGAGAAGTGGGCTTAGAGCAAAGATGTATATCTATATATCTCTGTCTGTCAATCTCTTTCTATGGCAAGCAGAATGGAAGAATGGAAATAAAGTTCTTAAAGCATTTTCATGGGTGTGATTATATAGTGATACTTGGCTTTTTGCAAGAAGTGGTTAATCAATAGAGGAAGA